GTAAGTGGGTAAAATAGTTGGGGTCAGACTAAACCATAATCCCTCTGACTCATAGATTTGGGTCAAAGATTTCCAGTGGCAAGGAACTTCCAGTCAGAGCTCTGTCACATGTAACACAGAAGTTACCAGTTACAAGGCAGAAACAGTACCATTTTTTGTGTGAAAACTGACAACAACGAGTGACATGTATCAAAGCTGTTACTTATTTTAGTGTCAATATGAACGTCACTCTCATATTACTGGGTCATTCCACGAAATTAGTGCTTTTTGCATCCCTTTGATATTTTAAGAGAAATTGTGCAGCAATATGTCATTTTAAAAGCCTGATATATTAAATGAAGTGCCCTTTAATATAGACCACGTAGAGAATACAATCAATCAGATTTTGCTGACTTGCTGAAGTGCCAAGATTCAGCATTTTGACATGTCTCTCTGTAACCCCCCAAAATACTTTGTTTTCACCATCATTGTAAAGTCCTAGTTATTTTGTTGCTTTGACGAAGTCATTTCTGAAGATTTTTATTTATTTCATGTGATGAGTGAATCATTTATGTCTGTCCCTCATTTTAAGGTCAACCCTGTTACGTAAACAGAACTCGTTTTAATATGTTGAAACAATTCCTTTTTAAATATGTTTTTCAAAATAAACATTGAACATCTAAAAGTCAAATAGCGGTTGAACTGGTTCTACGGTTTCTGGTCATTTTCTGGTGTTCTGTGGTGGAAAATTGAGAGGGTTGAGCATAACATGTCAACCCTGTTACCCATAGATAGACGGGCTAAAAATGTTTCAACAATTTAAATGTTAAGCTTGCATTCAATTGCCACTCCCTGCTGCACACATAAGACATTACCATTGGTGTATTAATAATCCTCCCTGAATCCAAGAATTTGACATGGGAGAGGGGACCAGTAACTTTATGATCAAACTTAATCAATTTAGAAGCAACAGTCATTTTTCATACTTTGGTCATCCTACTTTTGATCTGGTTTCATCCAAACATAATCTACATTTATTAAAAACATGGTTTTGACTGTGCGGGACCTTTTGAGCTTGGAACATTTGTTTTTTAGTAAGTTGAACATGTGCTCCTTATGACAAAATGTAAAGATTATACTAAACAAAAATATAAAACGCAACATGCAACAATTTCATTGATTTTACTGAGTTACATGTCATATGAGGAAATTAGGTCCTAATCTATAGATTTCACATGATTGGGAAGACAGATATGTATCTATTGTTCACAGAAACTGTACCTTTAACAAAACGGGCCTCACAATGGGCCTCAGGAGCTCGTCACAGTATTTTTGTGCATTCAAATTGCCATCGATAAAATGTAATTGTGTTCGTTGTCTGTAGCTTATGCCTGACCATACCATAACCCCACCGCCACCATGGGGCGCTTTGTTCACAACGTTGATATCAGCAAAACGCTCACCCACACAACGCCATACATGTGGTCTGCAGTTGTGAGGCCGATTGGACATACTGCCAAATTCTCTAAAACGATGTTTAACATTCACTTCTCTGGTGGACGTTCCTGGAGTCAGCATGCCAATTGCACACTCCCTCAAAACTTCAGACATCTGGAGGGCTTGGCCAGCCACTCTTAAATAGCACCTGGGCCAGCGCAGGTGAAACACCTTCCTACTAACGCGACGGCAACCAGCACAGGTGTAACACATACTGACTAACGAGGTGACACCAATTGGTGCACCCTACGTGCTAACGAGCTACACATGAGCTACACCTCAAAACATAAATGGTCAAACCAAAGCCTATAACACTGTTTAATCAGCTTCTTAATATGCCACACCTGTCAGGTGGATGGATTATCTTGGCAAAGGACAAATGCTCACTAACAGGGATGTAAAGAAATGTGTGCACAAAATTGGAGAGAAATAAGCTTTTTGTGCGTATGGAAAATTTCTGGGATCTGTTATTTCAGCTCATGAAACATGGGACCAACACTTTACATGTTGCGTGTATATTTTTGTTCAGTGTAGTTGAAATCCCAAAAACATTTGACCAAGTTACACTTCTCAAAAGGCACCGAATTGGTGGTGCCAAGAGTGTGCAAAGCTATCATCAAGGCAAAGGGTGTCTATTTGAAGAATCTCAAATATAAAATATATTTTGATTTGTTTAACACTTTTCTGGTTACTACATGATTCCATATGTGTTATTTCATAGTTTTGATGTCTTCACTATTATTCTACAATGTAAAAAAAATATGGACTGGTAGTGTATATACAGTATATATATATATATATATATATACAGTGAGGGAAAAAAGTATTTGATCCCCTGCTGATTTTGTACATTTGCCCACTGACAAAGAAATGATCAGTCTATTATTTTAATGGTAGGTTTATTTGAACAGTGAGAGACAGAATAACAACAGCAAAAATCCAGAAAAACGCATGTCAAAAATGTTATAAATTGATTTGCATTTTAATGAGGGAAATAAGTATTTGACCCTCTCTCAATCAGAAGGATTTCTGGCTCCCAGGTGTCTTTTATACAGGTAATGAGCTGAGATTAGGAGCACACTCTTAAAGGGAGTGCTCCTAATCTCAGCTTGTTACCTGTATAAAAGACACCTGTCCACAGAAGCAAACAATCAATCAGATTCCAAACTCTCCACCATGGCCAAAACCATAGAGCTCTCCAAGGATGTCAGGGACAAGATTGTAGACCTACACAAGGCTGGAATGGGCTACAAGACCATCGCCAAGCAGCTTGGTGAGAAGGTGACAACAGTTGGTGCGATTATTCGCAAATGGAAGAAACGCAAAATAACTGTCAATCTCCCTCGGCCTGGGGCTCCATGCAAGATCTCACCTTGTGGAGTTGCAATGATCATGAGAACGGTGAGGAATCAGCCCAGAACTACACGGGAGGATCTTGTCAATGATCTCAAGGCAGCTGGGACCATAGTCACCAACAAAACAATTGGTAACACACTACGCCGTGAAGGACTGAAATCCTGCAGCGCCCGCAAGGTCCCCCTGCTCAAGAAAGCACATATACAGGGCCGTCTGAAGTTTGCCAATGAACATCTGAATGATTCAGAGGAGAACTGGGTGAAAGTGTTGTGGTCAGATGAGACCAAAATCGAGCTCTTTGGCATCAACTCAACTCGCCGTGTTTGGAGGAGGAGGAATGCTGCCTATGACCCCAAGAACACCATCCCCACCGTCAAACATGGAGGTGGAAACATTATGCTTTGGGGGGGGGGGTTTCTGCTAAGGGGACAGGACAACTTCACCGCATCAAAGAGACGATGGACGGGGCCATGAACCGTCAAATCTTGGGTGAGAACCTCCTTCCCTCAGCCAGGGCATTGAAAATGGGTCGTGGATGTGTAATCCAGCATGACAATGACCCAAAACACACGGCCAAGGCAACAAAGGAGTGGCTCAAGAAGAAGCACATTAAGGTCCTGGAGTGGCCTAGCCAGTCTCCAGACCTTAATCCCATAGAAAATCTGTGGAGGGAGCTGAAGGTTCGAGTTGCCAAACGTCAGCCTCGAAACCTTAATGACTTGGAGAAGATCTGCAAAGAGGAGTGGAACAAAATCCCTCCTGAGATGTGTGCAAACCTGGTGGCTAACTACAAGAAATGTCTGACCTCTGTGATTGCCAACAAGGGTTTTGCCACCAAGTACTAAGTCATGTTTTGCAGAGGGGTCAAATACTTATTTCCCTCATTAAAATGCAAATAAATTCATATCATTTTTGACATGCGTTTTTCTGGATTTTTTTGTTGTTATTCTGTCACTCACTGTTCAAATAAACCTACCATTAACATTATAAACTGATCATGTCTTTGTCAGTGGGCAAACGTACAAAATCAGCAGGGGATCAAATAGTTTTTTCCCTCACTGTGTATATATATATATATATAAATATATATACTGAACAAAAATATAAATGCAACATGTAAAGTGTTGGTCCCATGTTTCATGAGCTGAAATAACAGATGGCTGTCGTGAAATCCATGGCTGTCATGTGAAATCCATAGATTAGGGCCTAATGAATTTATTTCAATTGACTGATTGCCTTATATGAACTTTAACTCAGTAAAATCGTTGAAATTGTTGCATGTTGCGTTTATGTTTTTGTTTTGTAATAGCTGTGCTACATTACATTGGCTTCATGAGCCTGACCTGACATGGCTCATCCTGCACAGTGCTGGAGAGGATGGGTACGATAAAAGCTGTCACATAGACAAGCCCCTCCCACATTGACTGTCACTCAGGTATAAGTCCCTCCCACCCACCCCTATAAAACCTCTCACGTTGACTGTGTACACTCAGACAAATAGGTAACTCTACAGCCTTAGAAAAAGCCCCCCACCCAGGAGTAACTGGAAAGATCTATGCAACTGGGAGCCTCCCAGTGAAGTGAATTGTTTTGAGCCTGAGGTAAGTGAAATCTGTCATTTGAACTTGAGAACATATATTTTGTTTCTGACTTGTATCAGACAATTGTTGGTTTTCTCTGAAGTCAAGGCAGGAATGTAGGAGGTGCTATCTTTGTTGTCTGTCTGCCTGTCTGTGTGTGCAGCAGTGCAATGTGTTCTTATTATATTGTTATTACAGAAGAAGACTGAAGGAGATATCCCAATCTCATCACTCTCATCCATGTAGAGTGTATGGTATTCCTGTGCACAGAGAAATTCTAGCCAAGACTCAGAACTGTTTTTGTCCAGTTATTACATTGGGCAAATTAATAACCAGGAGCTGGAGAGGGTCAGAGTTCACATAACCTTCATTTTGGACCCTCTTATGTAAGCAAGTTGGAGTCCTTGGCTGCACTCGCTGCTGCAGTCCAGTCTCACTCTGCCTGCTTGGAGACTTAGCGTAGCGTAGTGAGTGTTCTCCACTTTTGGAGCCAGGAGATAGTCTCATCTACTTGTGAGAAAAGGTGAGAATTATCTAAATATAAATCATGTTTTTTCATTCCATTCTTATTCACAGGCTCCAGCCAATATGAAAGTGGCTCTTCAAACCATCATCTGCGGGTGTGTTCTAGCCACAGTTTTACCTCTGGTGAAAGGCACAGTTTTACCTCTGGTGAAAGGCACAGTTTTACCTCTGGTGAAAGGCACAGTTTTACCTCTGGTGAAATGCACCAAAGTTGACCTCAACTCCAACATGAAAAAGAGGTAAGCTGATTGACGAATGACGAACGGTGGCCACCGTCTAATTCAATAGAGTGCATAGGATTATTGGATAGGATGTGTGTTCTGTCTTTGATGTGTCTAGGGGGAAGTAGGTTAGTTCTGCATTAACAATTCCTTCTCTTCTGTGGTAGATTTAGAGTCTGGTTACAGAGCTGCACGAGAGCAGATCTCCACAGCAGCTCTGCAGTGGACTCAGGGATCATCAGTGGACCAGTGCATAGAAAGGAGACAGACCCCTCAGTATTTCATTCCAGGTAATCGGTGTTATTTCAATAATGGTTCCTCTGGTGTTTTTTAAAATGTTTTTACTGCTATAAAAATGTCACATTTGAATGGTTTTTAATCAAGTCCATTTCAGTCGATCTTTAGAAATCTCTGATATCTCTTCTCTTATCTCCTTTAATATTTTTCTCTTTCAGGTCCAGAAGATCCATTGTGACCTCAGTGAAAAGACCAGGCTGCTCTCTGGGCACATGCAGCCTGCATGACCTGGCCCATCGGCTGCACATCCTCAACAACAAGTTAAAGGTCAACAGAGCCCCGGAGGACAAGATCAGCTCACAGGGTTACGGTCGCCGCCGCAGGTCACCACAGTCACTCCCACAACGCTACGTTACGCTACGTCTCCAAGTAGGCAGAGTGAGACTGGACTGCAGCTGCGAGTGCAGCCAAGGACTCCATCTACAGGCCATCCCACTCAGACAAACTTGAGTTGGGAGAGAACAGGAAGAGGAGTGTCAATCTAGCGAATGTCAGGCGCTTTTTCTATGTTTCGGGCTGGCTGAGATATTACTGAGGTCCTATTCCTGAACATTCCTTTCCTGCGTGGATGGACAAGGTCAATGGAGCAGGAAACAAATGTCACGCCACTGTGGATGGAAGACAGAAGGGAAAGAGGGGAGGGAGGAAGGAGTGTGTGTGTGTGTGTGTGGGGGGGGGGGGGTCTAGGGGGGGGGGTCTAAAAATAGTGAGATGTGTGTGTGTATTCGTGGTGCAGTGACTTCTGCGCTCTCAGAGCTGTGGAACTTGACACGCTTCTGTCTCTTTACCAGCTCAGGAGACTTTCTCTCACCCCTGTGGTGGCACAGAAAGAGTGGCTTGGTTGAACACTGTTGCCCCAAACCCCATACCCCTGGACTAGGGCTGGGACTAGAGCTTAACCCCTAGACTAGGGCTAGGACAGGAGCCTAGCAGGAGAAGAGGAGGACATATAACATGCTCTTGACTGACTAATTTCACATATACCACCAATATCAGTTCAAAACAATATCAATGGTGGTTAGAGAGACATTGTAACATAAATATTTAGGACTACAAATGTCTACAATGTTTGATTATATATTGTGTACTCATTAGGGATGCTCTACTTGAACTTGAGTTTATGTATATAGAGATAAGGTAATGTATATACACAGCAAATTGGCCAGTGTTACCTAGTGTTGATTTTGTCAGTGTAACATTTATATTATTGATTCCGGTGTTAAATTAATAACCAGTGTTAAACCAACACCATACCCATCATTATCATATTTCCCAGCATGCTCTATTGCAGGTTGATTTTTAGAATTGTTTGTTTCAATATCTATGTTTTTGCATGTACATTGATTGATTAATTAATCTTATGCTACTCTAATATAAATAACATACATTTTTCTAAACGAATCCAATCTGTTACTTGGACTTTTGCACCCGTTACTGAAATGGTTGTTCCAGTTAAGATGGTTTAGATCAGCGGTATCAAACTTGATTTGACCATGGGACTGCAGTTGGTCTACCACGGGTTCGGGGGGGCTGCACTGAATTTTTTTTATATACTATATACAAAAGTATGTGGACACCCTTTCAAATGAGTGGATTCGGCTATTTCAGCCACACCCAATCTCCATAGACAAACAACGGCAGTAGAATGGCCTTACTGAAGAGCTCAGTTACTTTCAACGTGTCATAGAATGCCACCTTTTCAACAAGTCAGTTCGTCAAATTTCTGCCCTTCTAGAGCTGCCCTGGTCAACTGTAAGTGCTGTGATTCTGAAGTGGAAACCTCTAGGAGCAACAACGGCTCAGCCGCGGAGCGGTAAGCCACACAAGCTCACAGAACGCGACCGGCGAGTGCTGAGGCGCGTAGCGCGTAAAAATCGTCTGTCCTCAGTTGCAACACTCACTACGAGTTCCAAACTGCCTCTGGAAGCAACGTCAGCACAAGAGCTGTTCATCGAGAGCTTCATGAAATGGGTGTCCATGGCCGAGCAGCCTAAGATCACCATGCGCAATGCCAAGCGTCAGCTGGAGTAGTGTAAAGCTCGCCGCCATTGGACTCTGGAGCAGTGGAAACGCGTTCTCTGGAGTGATGAATCACACTTCACCATCTTGCAGTCTGACGGACAAATCTGGGTTTGGCGGATGCCCCCATGCACAAAGCAAGGTCCATACAGAAATGGTTTGTCGAGATCGGTGTGGAAGAACTTAACTGGCCTGCACAGAGCCCTGACCTCAACCCCATCGAACACCTTTGGGATGGATTGGAACGCCGACTGCGAGCCAGGCCTAATCGTCCAACATCCGTGCCTGACCTCACTAATGCTCTAGTGGCTGAATGGAAGCAAGTCCCCGCAGCAATGTTCCAACATCTAATGGAAAGCCTTCCCAGAAGAGTGAAGGCTGTTATAGCAGCAAAGGGGGGACCAACTCCATATTAATGCCCATGATTTTGGAATGAGACTATTCTATTGATTCCATTGCACCAGGCAAGCTCAATCAAGCCCAGCTAAAGTATTAGAAATAATTTCAAATAGTATTTGAACCATGGTCTGATTTTTTAAGCCTAGTTAGCACATTAGTTTGGGAGTACACTTACTAGCTTGGGAGTACACGTACTAGCACATTAGTTGGCAAATTAGTGGCCTTTAGAGTCTCTGCCCTGAGATTGCAAGATCGGGAGTTGGATCCCTGGCCGAGTCATACCAGACTGTAAAAATGGGACTGATGTGTTTCTGCTTGACACTTAGCATTAAAGAGGAGGACTGGGGTTAAGGCCCTGCGATTGACAAGCGTTCTGTGTTCTGTCCAGGGGGTGCTACAGAAACAGGAGATAGGCTCCTGTGAGCCATTCCAGATCATGCAATGGTACTTACTTAACTTGAGAGTGCACTGAAGGAAATAACACCATCTATGGTAGCTGTGTAGAGGAGCAATATTGTAACATAATCCATGTTTTTCGACCGACAAAATAATAGTAGATCAGATTCAGTGATAAGAGGTATATTGTCTGGAAAAATTGGCCTGAAACTGAATTTTCCTCATGATATTATCACTTAATGTTTTTAGAACCATTTTTTCCATAACAAAGGAATAATTGAATAAAAGTTCCAGACGTTGTAATTAAATGATGTGAATGTATGTTAGAGCTATTTCAGGACCTTTTTCAAAATGTGTTACTGCTTTATGCATTCTCACATTCTTACAGGAATGATCCTCCAAAATGTAAAAAGTTCTTTATTAATGATTTCATATTGCACCTTTTTGAGTTTTCACAGGTGCTGAGAATGGTCTTTACATATTTAATTTTGCATGTTGCACAATAACTTATGATTAATTCAACTAAATAAGTAACCAAATCATTTTAAAAAAAATCTGATAACTAAATTTGACAGTTCTCAAAAAATTATACCACACCGGAAATGCACCTTCCCAAACATTGTTGTGTAGCTAGCTAGCTAACGTTAGCCTACTTGCCTTGAGTGGGCTGTCATTAATGAAAGTGAAGCCTTATTCCATCAGAAGGACATCTTAGCAGGGAAACTGGAAAGAAGGTAAGATTTAAGTTATCTAATATTTAACGTTAATAATGCTAGTTAATGCCTGTATCTGATTACTAGACAGTTATAGCTGTAGCCTTCATTTATAACGTTCCAGTCATTGGCTGTAGCGAGACTTCTATTGCTGTAGCTAGTGTAGCTGGCTAGCAGTGTTAACACTGCTACCTAACTAGTTAGCTAACGTTTCTCAGCCTAAATAGAGGATCATTTTTACACCACTAGCTAGCTTACTACTGTTAGATGTCAATGGTTGCGTGTACTTTGCTGGTGCACAGCCTATTAATAACGTCAACCACCACTGAGGGCTAACAATGCTAATATCTAGCTACCATCTTGCTAGCTAGTTGTCTTTGATTTACATTTACATTTTAGTCATTTAGCAGACGCTCTTATCCAGAGCGACTTACAGTTAGTGCATACATTATTTTTTTTCATACCCCCTGTGGGAATCGAACCCACAACCCACCCCTTTCTATCAACTGAGCTACATCCCTGCCGGCCATTCCCTCCCCTACCCTGGACGACGCTGGGCCAATTGCGCGCCGCCCCATGGGTCTCCCGGTCGCGGCCGGCTACAACAGAGCCTGGATTCGAACCAGGATCTCTAGTGGCACAGCTAGCACTGACATGCAGTGCCTTAGACCACTGCGCCACTCTAGCTAACATAGCTAACTATGTCGCTTGCAAGCTGCATAAGTTACATTTTTTACATTTTAGTAATTTAGCAGACACTCTTATCCAGAGCGACTTACAGTAGTGAATGCATACATTTTCGTACTGGTACCCCGTGGAAATCGAACCCACAACCCTGGCGTTGCAAGCGCCATGTTCTACTAACTGAGCCACACAAACGTTTCTGTTTAAAAGGGAGGTTCAAATAGTATTCCTTCTGCTGTGCACACCACATTGTTACTGGATGAGGAGGATCAGATATTGACCTCAGTTTTATGACTTTGGATTGTTGAACTGTCACTAAACTGCCACCCTCTCTCCTGGTTTAGCAAGGCTGTTATGTGGCCTGAGAAGTCGGGCCCTGGATGCTCTCCTCACTAGTTCTGAAGATTGGACACAACAATGACACTATAAAGGACACTAACAAAAAGTGAGTGAGTACACAATACGCCTAATTGGTCAATGCTACACAAACAACAGTGGTTGTTCCTACCAATTATTTTTGGTTGGGCTAGAAACATGGGCACAGAGTAGGGCTAAATAGCCTATGTCCACCATTTGACCAAAGACACTTATTTTAACAAACACTCTCTTTTCTTTCAGTCTTTTCTGTGCTTTCATATTCCCTCTTTCTCTGTCTTTTCCTGCAGGGCAGCATGTCTTCAGGTCACCGGCTGCGAGATGTAGAGCAACACCACCCCCTGCTGGACGGGGAGGAGGCTGCAGTGGGTTCCGCAGAAGGGGAGGCGGAGCAAGTGTGGTTCATCCAGGATGGCTGTGGCATGGTCTGTGCCTTCATCACCTGGTTCCTGGTGCTCTACGCCGACTTTGTGGTCACCTTTGTCATGCTGCTGCCCTCCAAGAGCTTCTGGTACGCTGTGGTCAACGGCGTGGTCTTCAACTGCCTGGCTGTGCTAGCTCTCACCTCGCACCTGCGCACCATGCTCACCGACCCGGTGAGTGAACCAACCACTGCAGGGTAGTGCTCATTTGGGCTCAACGTAACAAAGAAGTGAGGATGCATTGTAATGTTGGGTGACTTGGAAAAGGGAGTGACTTTGAACGGAGGGCAAGACAGAGTATACAAGAAGTAAAAGAAGCATTCAGAATGAAGAAGGGTAAGTCTGAGAACAGACTGAGAGCCGTCTGATGCTCCTGGGCACAGAATAGGAACAACGTGTTGTCCTATTAGCAGTGAAAGAGCTGACCTACTAGTAGTTTCCTGGAAGTTTTGAATGAGTCTGTCCAAACATGTCAGTCTGACTGTGTCCATTCTGTCCAACCGTGTGTCTGTTTATAGGGAGCTGTGCCCAAAGGCAACGCCACCAAGAAGTACATGGAGAGCCTGAACCTGAAACCAGGAGAGGTCATCTATAAGTGTCCCAAATGCTGCAGCATCAAACCTGAGAGAGCCCACCACTGTAGGTGAGGAGGGAATATTTGTGTTGCTATTATGTATTATTGTTATGCTTTATAGTATCTAAGGGGTTTTCCTGGCTGAGTCACTTGGCTAGGCAACACCCCCTATTTAGGCCTACTGTATCTGTTGCGTCCTGTTCATTAGGCCACACCGTAGTAAAACTTTTGAAATGGAAAACAAAAAGGAATGTTTCTTATTGTAGAACTCCAGGTAGTCCCTTCTGGTTTCCGTCTTTTTTCCCCCAGTTGGGTGCCTAATGAACACGACCATGGTGTCGTTTCCCTCCCCTGTAGTATTTGTAAGCGCTGCATCCGTAAGATGGATCACCACTGTCCCTGGGTGAACAACTGTGTCGGAGAGAACAACCAGCGCTTCTTTGTCCTCTTCACTGTGAGTTCCGTCTCAGTTCCACCTTGTTGAAGGTCATGTGCACAGTGGAAATACTGAAATGCATCTGTGGTACATCGGTCCAATTAATCAACGTCAATTAATCAAACTTGTTTTTGTTGTTGCATCGACTGACGTCCCTATTTTGTACTATTGTGTAGTTTTGCATGGAAGCAATGGGTTTGACAGAATGATTCGTGTTTCATCTTTATTATCATAAAGGCCTGTAAACCAACCAATCCCTGTTCACTGATTGCCTTCAGGAGGCTCTGGTCAGATTGGAGAAATATGATGTATTATTATGCTAGGTTGTGATCATGTACACTGTGCTCCTCAATGTGCTTTGGTTGTAGCTTTATGCCTGTGTCCATTGTCAATGCGCAATGAATTACAATGAATGTTTTACCATCAATACCAGGATTGGGTAATAGTTCCCTCTCTCTTTGCAGATGTATATAGCGATGATCTCCACCCATGCTCTTGCCCTGAGTGGGTACCAGTTTGTAACCTGTGTCAAGGTCCAGTGGAGTGGTGAGTATCATTATATGATTGCAGATTAGCTTTCTAAATATACTGTTCCCTGTTAAATATAACTACATTTACTTTTGGGTGCCCTGTTTAAAAAACAACTACATTGACTTCAATGTGCCCTGTTTAAACACACAATCTGGAATTTGTCTTGGCAAAATATAAGGTTGTTTTACTCAATTGTGTGTTACAGTCTTTGTTAACAAAAATGTACAGCTTCAAAACTCATTTTAATCTTGTGGACTATCATTCTTCGTATCTATAGCTCCATCTATGAATTTGATAGGGGTTACATTTCTCTTGCCCCATCCCTCACCTTTATAGCAAACCAAGTGGCGGAGCTGCCATTTGTTGATTTTCAAATTAATTAAATACAACTACATTGAGGTCAGTGTTAATGTCATTATCTTGAATGGTGTTCCTGCCCCTCCAGAGTGCAGTGACTTTGCCCCCCCGGTGACAGTGATGCTGATGATCTTCCTCTGCCTGGAGGGCCTCCTCTTCCTCAGCTTCACAGCTGTCATGTTTGGCACTCAGGTCCACTCCATCTGCAACGACGAGACGGTGAGGAGGTTAATATAACACTATATGCCACTTAGCAGACACTGTTGTAATCCTAAGCAGCATTCTGCGCAGTGAGTGGCTACATTTTCAGTTTGATTCCTGCGGGAATTGAACCCACAACCTTAGATATACAATGTAGATTAGATGATTGAGAATTGTTTCCATGTTATACATTACATTCTCAGGTCCAATCCATCTGCAACAAGAAGACGGTGAGGAGCCGAACCACATGGATAGAAAAACAATAGATAGACATGCAAGGCTTATTAAGTAGGGCAAAGGCATTACGGAACGCCATTCTACACCGACTAGTTCTAGCAACAATGTAGAATGGATAAGATTCTCTATTCTGCATGATGTTTCCAAATGTCCTGCCCCTCTGAACAAGCACGTGGCCATGGTAGTGAAGTCCCAGTGAGGGAAATGGGGCTTATTTACATATGAGACATCAGCCTCCTTCAGAAACTTAGGTTGGAGTCATTAAAACTTGTTTTTCAACCACTCCACACATTTCTTGTTAACTAACTATAGTTTTGGCAAGTCGATTAGGACATCTACTTTGTGCATGACACAAGTAATTTTTCCAACAATTGTTTACAGACAGATTATTTCACTTATAATTCACTGTATCACAATTCCAGTGGGTCAGAAGTTTACATACACTAAGTTGACTATGCCTTTAAACAGCTTGGAAAATTCCAGAAAATTATGTCATGGCTTTAGAAGCTTCTGATAGGCTAATTGACATCATTTGAGTCAATTGGAGGTGTACCTGTGGGTGTATTTCAAGGCCTACCTTCAAACTCAGTGCCTCTTTGCTTGACATCATGGGAAAATAAAAAATGTGTAGACCTCCACAAGTCTGGTTCATCCTTGGGAGCAATTTCCAAACGCCTGAAGGTACCACGTTAATCTGTAAAAACAATAGTACGCAAGTATAAACACCATGGGACCACGCAGCCGTCATACCGCTCAGGAAGGAGACGCGTTCTGTCTCCTAAAGATGAACGTACTTTGGTGCGAAAAGTGCAAATCAATCCCAGAACAACAGCAAAGGACCTTGTGAAGATGCTGGAGGAAACAGGTACAAAAGTATCAATATCCACAGTAAAACAAGTCCTATATCGACATAACCTGAAAGGCCGCTCGGCAAGGAAGAATCCACTGCTCCAAAACCGCCATAAAAAAACCAGACTACGGTTTGCAACTGCACATGGGGACAAAGATCTTACTTTTTGGGGAAATGTCCTCTGGTCTAATGAAACAAAATAACTGTTTGGCCATAATGACCATCGTTATGTTTGGAGGAAAAAGAGTGATGCTTGCAAGCCGAAGAACACCATCCCAACTGTGAAGCACAGGGGTGGCGTGGCAGCATCATGCTGTGGGGGTGCTTTGCTGCAGGAAGGACTGGTGCACTTCACAAAATAGCATGGCATCATGAGGAAGGAAAATGATGTGGATATATTGAAGCAACATCTCAAGACATCATTCAGGAAGTTAAAGCTTGGTCGCAAATGGGTCTTCCAAATGGACAATGACCCCAAGCATACTTCCAAAGTTGTGACAAAATGGCTTAATGACAACAAAGTCAAGCTATTGGAGTGGCCATCACAAAGCCCTGACCTCAATCCTATGGAAAAGTTGTGGGCAGAACTACAAAAGCGTGTGCGAACAAGGAGGCCTATAAACCTGACTCAGTTACACCAGCTCTGTCAGGAGGAATGGGCCAAAATTCACCCAACTTATTGTGGGAAACTTGTGGAAGGCTACCCGAAACATTTGACCCAAGTTAAACAATTTAAAGGCAATGCTACCAGTGTATGTACATTTCTGACTTACTGGGAATTTGATGAAATAAATAAAAGCTGAAATAAATCATTCTCTCTACTACTATTCTGACATTTCACATTCTTAAAATAAAGTGGTGATCCTAACTGACCTAAGACAGGGAATTTTTACTAGGATTAAATGCCAGGAATTGTGAAAAACCTAAATTTAAATTTTGGATAAGGTGTATGTAAACTTCCGACTTCAACTGTAAATAGGGCTTATTTACATGAGACATCAGCCTCCTTCAGAAAACCTGTTGATAATGTAAGGAAGAAGAAACCTAGTGGTGGTGACATTGATGAGACTAGTGACCAATGACTGAGGCTAATTTACCATTGTTGTTATTTGACCCCATTCCCTCAACTTTGTTGAATTCTGGCGTTGATGTTTACCCCTCTGTGTGTATTTCTACCACAGGAGATTGAGCGTCTGAAGAAGGAGAAGCCCACGTGGGAGAGGCAGGTTCGCTGGGAGGGCATGAGGAGTGTGTTTGGGGGCAAGCCGTCGCTGCTGTGGATCAACCCATTTGCCGGGCTCCGACTGCGCCGACTACTCGCCACACGCTCCCGGAAAGCCGGCGCCGAGTTCTCTGTCTGACCTCTCACCTTATCACCAGCTTCCTACTGTACTGTCTGGGACAATCTGTAGAACCTGACTCAGGAGCTGTCTTTGACACCAGGGTCCTGTTCATTTCAGGCACCAAACGGAAGAAAACGGACTCAAACAGGGAAGGTACTATCCGGACTTGTCCGATAAGAAACGCTCATTTTTGTTTTCTGTTGCAAAATGTTTTCCATCACGTGTCCTAATGAACACGACCCAGCTACAAGGAAGACTGAAGTTCTATCCAACAGTATGGACAATGGTGCTTCTGAACATCACGTCTGTATAGGTCACATGGAGCAGGAGTCAAAACTATCGAGAAACCCATCGAAACCTGTTTAAAGATCAAATGAAGGTGCGCTGTAGTCCTAAAACAGACTGAAACACTACATACTGCACAGTTACAGGAAGCCTACAGGGAGGAGGATTCACTTCATCTGTTTATTTATTGACTTCTTTTTAAAACACTCACTGTTGTGTTCTTCTCTTCCTGTCACTCTGGGGGGTGGGGGGGGGGGGTTGACTGAGTAAAGCCTAATTTATACCTTACATCCTCTCTCTGGCTCCTTATCTCTCTCTCCTTCTCTCGCTCATCTCTCTGTCTCCTCTCTCTCTCTGTGTCTCCTTATCTCTGTGCCTCCTTATCTCTCTCTCTCACATGGTTGTGTACTTCTCTTCCTGTCACTCTGGGGGTGTTTGAGTGAGTAAAGACTAATTTATACCTTACCTACAGTACATGCACAACGCAAGAACGAAATTAGCTACGCAATGTTGTGTACTTGTGTCGACTTACAAATTGCTGGACTGCACACGTCTGTGTATTTTGTCTACGCAACTAGCCGGATCGCCATTTTGCGTAGCTAATTGTAGTTCTTGCATCCTATGTATAAAATGAGGCTTAAGGGTCCCTACCTGACAGTAGCTAGCTGTACCTCTGGAAAAAATGTGCTAGAATTGGTGTTAACCACTACTATATCCATATCATGTTTTTTTATGAATATATTGCTGGATATATTGCTTGAGAATCATGTTTTTGCCTAAATGTCAGTTTACATTCTCTGTATTGCATTTTCTTTTATACCTAAAAAAGACATGTTTACCGCTTGTAGGAGTTGAGTTGGGGTGGGGAAGGAGGAGTATAAAATGAATAATTAATGGTTGCCAGCAAGATGGTAGAGAAATACTAGAATCAGCAGTTTGGATTCTGCATGAGGCATTCACATAAAGTTTTAGTAATGTGTCTGACAAATTTGCTGTGACGTGGACAATTGAAAGGCATAGGAACTAATTTCATTAGCGAAAGGTTAGCATTGAACCCTTGATCATTATTTTAATGGGAAGTATGCTATGATAATTTCTTTAACTGCTCTGATTTAAAAAGGTAGACTTAGCGATGCACAAAGGAAACAGCAATATCGGGCCAATTTCCGCAACAACTAACAGCGTTGAAGCGCGAGGCTAAACTTCTCTGCTGTTATGGTCCTTTAGCTACCACGTTGTAGCATTGTGAAGAACACCTGTGGCCAGATACTCTGACTTCCTTACAAGTATTCCATTCTACAGTACACTCCCCTATGTACACAGGGGACTTTCCTGTCACGCTGATCGTAAGATGGATGATTCTGAAATTCTGAGCAAGTCTGAGTAACCATTATAATTTTATATTTTTTTATTTGACATAAATGTTTTGAAGACATGAGGGACTGTAAAGGAATGTATTAGGACTGAGTTGTTTTAAAATATTCTGTTAGGAGATTATACAGTATGTTATGTACTTCTGTTTTGAAAGCTTTCAGTTTTTGCGTAGCTACATTTACTGTGCTCCCATTAAATCAACTTCATTTCTACCTCTAAAATCCAGATCTATTTGTCCATATTACTGAAGCCAGTATGCAGCACTTCAAAAAGACCACTTGGAACTGGTGGATGACTTGCTTTACACTGGTCCCAATTCCCTCCCTTCCCCTTGGCTGTAACACTTTGATGTTTGCAGATCTGTAAGGTGGAAGCAATATGGTGGAAGCTTCACCTCTACACTGCTAATACCTATCCAGACCCTTCAGATCTGCTAACATTAAAGGGCTGAGAAGGCCTCGAGAGGGAATTTGGACCGGCTGTGTCGACACTATTTGTGAAGGGAACCAGATTTTCCCATCTTTCAACCCTACCCATCATAGGTAGTAGGGTGAAGTTGCGATTAGATGCTGACCTTGGGCCAGTTTTCCATTTTCCCCACTAATGGTTAAGTCCTAGATCCTGATCCTAGATCTGTACCCAGGGGAAACTTCACCCCGGACCTATAGTAAAGCAAACGTACAAGTTGTAGTGAATAATTTCTTATCCCACAGGCCACGACACATCCACACTGGCAGACAGTAGCTAACTGCACCTCATTGCTATGAAATTGTATCCTTTCAAGAAGACCAGCCATGTTATGTGGGGTATCCTTAGTAGTGCTCCTGGTTCTATTGGGTGATCCCTTGGCGGACCCCCATCCTGACCTACCAGCGGACCAGGACTTGTCCTGGGGAGTGGACCAGTATGACGTTGCCGTCGTGCCTCCGGACTGGAGTGCTTCTGGCACACCAAGGAGATCACTTCTACGTGACTTATGGTAAGATGCTATACAGTTTAGTAGTACAATAAATGATCTGTTTATTGTGCAATATACACTACCGTTCAAAAGTTTGGGGTCACTTAGATATTTCCTTGTTTTTGAAAGAAAAGCAATTTTTTTAATACAGTGGGGGAAAAAAGTATTTAGTCAGCCACCAATTGTGCAAGTTCTCCCACTTAAAAAGATGAGAGAGGCCTGTCATTTTCATCATAGGTACACGTCAACTATGACAGACAAAATGAGAAAAAAAAATCCAGAAAATCACATTGTAGGAGTTTTTATTAATTTATTTGCAAATTATGGTGGAAAATAAGTATTTGGTCAATAACAAAAGTTTCTCAATACTTTGTTATATACCCTTTGTTGGCAATGACACAGGTCAAACGTTTTCTGTAAGTCTTCACAAGGTTTTCACACACTGTTGCTGGTATTTTGGCCCATTCCTCCATGCAGATCTCCTCTAGAGCAGTGATGTTTTGGGGCTGTCGCTGGGCAACACAGACTTTCAACTCCCTCCAAAGATTTTCTATGGGGTTGAGATCTGGAGACTGGCTAGGCCACTCCAGGACCTTGAAATGCTTCTTACGAAGCCACTCCTTCGTTGCCCGGGCGGTGTGTTTGGGATCATTGTCATGCTGAAAGACCCAACCACGTTTCATCTTCAATGCCCTTGCTGATGGAAGGAGGTTTTCACTCAAAATCTCACGATGCATGGCCCCATTCATTCTTTCCTTTACACTGATCAGTCGTCCTGGTCCCTTTGCAGAAAAACAGCCCCAAAGCATGATGTTTCCACCCCCATGCTTCACAGTAGGTATGGTGTTCTTTGGATGCAACTCAGCATTCTTTGTCCTCCAAACACGACGAGTTGAGTTTTTACCAAAAATTTCTATTTTGGTTTCATCTGACCATATGACATTCTCCCAATCCTCTTCTGGATCATCCAAATGCACTCTAGCAAACTTCAGACGGGCCTGGACATGTACTGGCTTAAGCAGGGGGACACGTCTGGCACTGCAGGATTTGAGTCCCTGGCGGCGTAGTGTGTTACTGATGGTAGGCTTTGTTACTTTGGTCCCAGCTCTCTGCAGGTCATTCACTAGGTCCCCCTGTGTGGTTCTGGGATTTTTGCTCACCGTTCTTGTGATCATTTTGACCCCACGGGGTGAGATCTTGCGTGGAGCCCCAGATCGAGGGAGATTATCAGTGGTCTTGCATGTCTTCCATTTCCTAATAATTGCTCCCACAGTTGATTTCTTCAAACCAAGCTGCTTACCTATTGCACATTGTCTTTCCAGCCTGGTGAAGGTCTACAATTTTGTTTCTGGTGTCCTTTGACAGCTCTTTGGTCTTGGCCATAGTGGAGTTTGGAGTGTGACTGTTTGAGGTTGTGGACAGGTGTCTTTTATACTGATAACAAGTTCAAACAGGTGCCATTAATACAGGTAACGAGTGGAGGACAGAGGAGCCTCTTAAAGAAGTTACAGGTCTGTGAGAGCCAGAAATCTTGCTTGTTTGTAGGTGAACTAATACTTATTTTCCACCATAATTTGCAAATAAATTCATTAAAAATCCTACAATGATTTTCTGGGGTTTTTTTTCCTCAATTTGTCTGTCATAGTTGACGTGTACCTATGATGAAAATTACAGGCCTCTCATCTTTTTAAGTGGGAGAACTTGCACAATTGGTGTCCGACTAAATACTTTTTTCCCCCCACTGTACATGAATGATAGCTGATATGTCGTTCACTGCTTGCATGGCTCATGTTTGTTCAATGTTAAAGGGATAGTTCAGCCAAATTGTTTGTTTCCTTACCCTGTAAGTGGTCTTTGGACAAGGAGAGACAGCAAGCCATGCTTTGGTTGTTCACCTGGCTGCGGTCACGAAATATGTCCCAAAAGAACCACGATGCAAGTCATTGTCTCACATTTCCTCAATACACAGATGACGCCATAGTATAAGTGTGCCCCCCCAAAAAAGTAATTTTTTCCTTCAAGATGGCAGACACGTAGAAACTGTTGACTTGGAGGCAACTACTCAAGTCATTTAAACAAGGTTCCATATTTCAGCTAGTCTACGTCATGGTTGCAAAGCAAACGTTGAGTACAGACGACACTACCTTAATCTAAAACTTTAGTTTGACCTTTAAAAGCAATGTCAATTGAACCAACCCCCAGTTGAGAGCATCCAAGAAACCCATTCTGAACTTTGTCTAAACCGATGCTACAGAGACCCAAAATATTAGTCAACTATACTGACCAACCAAGAGAAGAGGCATACAGCGCATATCCATTAAGTTGTTTATTTTTCTCTATAGCCCATTTAAAATGTTATGGCAACACAAGATACTGCTGGATGGATATGGGGCCAAGGACAGTGTCGGCTTCCCACTGCACATCTGCGGAGAGAGAAGTCAACTGTAAGAGGACTAGAATTATCATATAGTTTAACATTACCAATGCTTTTGAATGTGCATAACAGATTCCTGCAAGAGGGACAAACACCCAATTGAATGATGATAGCACAGTTGAGAGGAACACAGGGTCAAGCCGCAGTGCAGCGACACTGGATGGAGCAAATTGTGGGGTTACCCTTGCTCAAGGGCACAATGATAGGGGTTCTCAGGATCTGAGCCCAGCAGCCAGATCAATTGTGTCGAAGAGCCTTGAGGAAGCTGAAACGTTGAGCCAGTGAATTTGAATACTCAAGTCATACCGGCGTCGACAGAGATATCTCTGGCCCTTCTCATGGTGCAGGAGGAGTCACAGCAACCACACACCTGGTCATCCCCATCTGCAGACCTCCACCTGTGAGAAGAAAAAAGGTTTAAAATTGGGCAAGGCAGTGCGACAAAGCTTGCTTTACCAGTTGTATTCAGTAGACCGGAAACTAGAAAGTGAGGTACCATCCTGCCAGTCCAGTAAGAAACGTCTGCTTCCACTGCAAAAATATGTATAACAGTTTTCCTTAATGAACACAACCCATCTCACAGAAGAAAAAGTCACTGTACACTTACCCCTTGACAAAGGAACAGGCCTTGTGCTCAGCATAAATTGGGGACGAAGCTGCAGTGGCCTTCAGGTGGCAGGTTATGTAGATCTGGTCAATTTTGTCCTCGCCAGTGTTGCTGTTGCTTCCAGGGCCAGCATCCTGCTGATGGAATCTGAAGGCCTCCAGCTGGATCTGAAGCTTGTGGTCCTGTGAGCGAGGCAGGAACTGGGAACTAGAGCCCGTCAACGCAGCATCAACTAGACACCTGAACAACCAGAAACCATTGGAGAAAAGAACAGTTCGCAAGGAGAATGTGCAGTGCACACCTTCCAGTTGCTCCTTTAATAGCAACATTTGCAACTTCTAGGGACCATTTCCCCAGAGATTATTTCCACTCCTGGACAATTTTTTTTTTTTTTTTTATAGTCAATGGAGAATCTCCATTAGAGGAATTTGTCCAGAATTAGGCTAATCTGTGCCTGGGAAACTGTCTAAGGGCCTTTCCCAGTTAGCTGTATGAAACTGGTTGTACATAGTGATAGTTTGTTGTGTGTGCACACAAGGGTTGGGGGGTCAATTCCTTGCAGTAAACTGAAAGTCCAATTCACCTCAATACTTTGAGAAATGTAGAATTGGAATTTCAGTTTACATTTAGCAGACACTCCTATCCAGAGAGACTTAGTCAGTGCATTAAACTAAGGTAGATAAAACTACATATCAGTTGTTGCAATTAGAAACCTCAATATAAACTGGGTGGTTCGAGCCCTGAATGCTGATTGGCTGACAGCCGTGGATGTCAGACCATACACCACAGGTATAACAAAAACATTGATTTTTTTACTGCTCTAATTACGTTGGTAACCAGTTTATAATAGCAATAAGGCCAGAGGGGGTGTGGTATATGGCCAATAGACTATGGCTAAGGGCTGTATCCAGGCACTCCGCGTTGCATCGTGCGTTAGAACAGCCCTTAGCCATGGTATATTGGCCATACACCACACCCCCTCTGACCTTATTGCTTAAATATAGCATCTCAGCAAATTCAGTGCCAGTAAGAAAGACAAGTGCGACTATTCGTTCAACGAAGACAAGTACAATAGTACGGTGTTAGTTTAATTCCTGAATTTAAATTGATCCCAACCCTGGTACACACCACCTTTGAACAGTGCCCTCGCTGACTCACCCGTGATTCTCAATGAAGGAGTATCTGGGCTTAGAGTTAATGTCAGGCACCAGAGTGGCAACGCAGCTTTCCACAAAGACCCGCAGCGGCACATGGTGGTACTGCAGGACAGAGGCTTCCATGCAAATCAGGTCACCCAGGAAGTACTGACTGGAGGGCCTCTCAAACTGCCAGTCGTCTAGAAAGAGGCGAAAGTCAGTGTAATTTAGTAGCATCTTTACAAAGAGGCCCATGGTTAGCCTTTACAATACAATGTTAACACATTTCGGGGCTGCAGTAGATTGCTGCGAGTTGGTTGTGTAGCCCTGACCGGGACCAGCAAGTGTCAACCCAACACCTACGCTGTTACACCAAGAGACCAAACTTCTTCGTGAGGTTGCTAGGTGCTGGTTGAGGGCGCCAATTAAGAATAATTGACAGACATGGAACTACCCACCAGTCATGAGCTTGAGAGAAAAGTAGAGTTGCTCCTCGACTACTTTAGAGTCTCCAAAGAGGGTCCAGGTGGGCTTCAAGGCATTGCTGCTCACATTGCGTTTCCTGCAAGGGGAGAAAGAAAGGACATTACTCTTTGCAAAATGAAGTCCTGGGTGACTGAGAATTAGGCCTACTTCTGTCCATGCGCCTCACTTTGAGTAGACCACAAGTCATCCGCTTGGAGAATCTCACCTCTTGTAGTGGCACTCAATGCCTACAACAGCCTCAGTGGTCCTTACAACAGGGGTATCACCAATATTGCTTGGTTTGTAGAGCAGGTGGAAGGTATAGATGAGGGCATCCTCTATCATCTGTGAAGTGGTAACATAACACAAGTGTGTTCAAAGCAGTTGCAATGATTTCCCATTGAGCTTCAAATCACATTTTATTTGTCACATGCTTTGTAAACGTGTAAAAAGTGAAACGTTAACTGTTAAAAAGTCCAAGACTAGGCTTACTACGTGTCCAGGAAACCAGTCCTTAGATTTAGAATATTTTAACTAGACATTTAGATTTGAACATGCAAAGGCTACCTCCAATTTGCTGTTGCATCCCTGCAGCTCAGACTCAAAGATCAGCCTGCGGGCTTCGACATCCTCCCCAGCTGCAGCACAGCCCCCCAGGGTGAGATGCGCCGGCTGGATGAGTTGGCCGATACCAAACAGATCCTGCTTGACCTCCACCTGTACCAGATTCTCCCCGCACTTCACCCCCACCGTGTCGGCAGGGACAGGCTGCTTCAGCTCAAAATTATTCACTTCAGGTTTGGCCTCCAGCACTGGATCATGAGGAAACGTCCAGGTCAGTGGGGTTTCAAAGACTTGCTTTGACTGGAACACTGAATCCTGCTTCCTGGGTTGCAGCACTGCAGACCTCTGGTTCTGGAAGCCCCTGGGTTGAAGCACTGCAGACTTCTGGAAGCCCTTGGGCTTCAGAGCTGCATGAGCCCAAGGAGTTGACAACACAGCATCCCAGAAACATACAAACACAGCAACCACTGCAAAAAGCTTGCTTAGCACTTGCCTTGATCCCATGGCTGCAAATATCAAATGGTGAATTCACAATATCTCCTTGGTCTCTAGGAATAACCTTTTTAAGCCATGTGGTTGAATGTGAACCCGCCCCTTCATTAATTAGTGTAATCAACATCCAGACCGTGCTCATTAAAGGGCCCTGTAGAATACTTTAGAAACACTTCCTTCCCATAGAGAATGGTAGAGGCCTCTAGTGGCCAAAAGGCCATTGAGGGCTTCCACCATTTTAATGTAGTCAACTGGGTGGGGCTTCCAACTTCATTGGCTGATCATCAGGATAGATCAACCAATCGTGAAGAAGAAAATTACTACTTCAAAATGGAGATTGCCTCAATGGGGTGCGTTCAGTTCACCTCAACGTTTGCTATGTTGCCTGACGGTTTGTACTGAAAGACACATAGGTATTACAGCTCCTTGAAAGTGGCACCGTTTTTGAACAGCCTTTGAGGTACGTTTGTGCCCATTTGGTGGGTGTGGTAAGGTGTGGCCTGATCAATGTGGGTGTGACCATATGACCTAGGCTACATAATTTTCCGTTTTTGTCTGTCAAAAGTACAACTTAAGTCAACTATTGTTGACGTCTTCTTCTTCTTCTTCTTCTTCTTCTTCTTCTTCTTCTTCTTCTTCTTCTTCTTCTTCTTCTTCTTCTTCTTCTTCTTCTTCTTCTTCTTCTTCTTCTTCTTCTTTCTTCTTCTTCTTCTTCGGTTTAACAGCGGTTGACATCCAATATGTTGCATTACCGCCCCCAACTGAACTATAGTATAGATCCATTACACTTAGTGATGCAAAATGGGAAAGGGGAACCGTGAACATTTTTAAATAAATCAAATTAAAATAAATTACCCTACCAACTAACCCTAAACTCATTAAAACCATCACCTTATTCCACTATTTTAACCCTATCTAATCCTACGGCCTGGGAGGACGGACACCATCACTCAACAAACGCTGTAACTCTTCTGAAGTCAAATCTCGTACACCCAAGTACTTCTCTGCAACTGCCACTACAACATCTACACTGAAAAAATATATAAACGCAGCATGCAACAATTTCAAAGATTTTACTGAGTTACGGTTCATATTTTATTTTTATTTTTTATTTTACCTTTATTTAACTAGGCAAGTCAGTTAAGAACAAATTCTTATTTACAATGACGGCCTACACCGGCCAAACCCGGACGACGCTGGAATATAAGGAAATCAATCAATTTATATAAATGCATAATGCCCTAATTGATGGATTTCACATGACTTGGAATACAAATATGAATCTGTTGGTCACAGAGACATTTTTAAAAAGGTAGGGGCGTGGATCAGAAAACCAGTCAGTATCTGGTGTGACCACCATTTTCAGGATTGTGTACAGATCCTTGCGACATGGGACCGTGCATTATTATGCTGAAACATGAGGTGATGGCAGCGGATGAATGGCACTACAATGGGCCTTGGGATCTCGTCAAGGTATCGCTGTGCATTCAAATTGCCATCGATAAAATGCAATTGTGTTCGTTGTCCGTACCTTCTCCCTGCCCATACTGTAACACCACCGCCACCATGGGGCACTCTGTTCACAACGTTGACATCAGAAAACCGCTCGCCCACATGACGCCATACACATGGTCTGCGGTTGTGAGACCGGTTGGACGTACTGCTAAATTCTCTAACATGACAGAGGCGGCTTATGGTAGAGAAATTAACATTAAATTATCTGGCAACAGCTCTGGTGGAAATTCCTGCAGTCAGCATGCCAATTGCACGCTCCCTCAAACCATGAGACATCTGTGGCATTGGGTTGTGTGACGAAACTGCACATTTTAGAGTGGCCTTTTATTGTACCCAGCACAAGGTGCACCTGTGTAATGATCATGCTGTTTAATCAGCTTCTTCATATGCCACACCTGTCAGGTGGCAAAGGAGAAATGCTCACTAACAGGGATGTAAACAAATTTGTTTACAAAAGTTGAGAGAAATTAGCTTTTTGTGCGAATGGAAAATTTCTGGGATCTTTTATTTCAGCTCATGAAACATGGGACCAACACTTTACATGTTGCGTTTATATTTTTGCTCAGTACATTTTCTGTGATTTACGTTCCATTTCTGCAGTACAGTTGATAACATTGCTATGAACGCTAAGAAGCCAACCTTACTGAAGCATATACTGTATCACTCATTGGCCTATCCAATGAGTGATACAGTATATGATTCTGAATGGTCAGATAACTAGAAATAATGACAAGAAGCTACCATGTGGGGAATCGTAGGTGGCTCGTTGTATCTTGTTATTGATACCATGTCTTGTTTTGACTCATGTCATGTCTATGCTAATATGGCTAAAATTCGCTAGATAGCTAACCAACAACTGTAACGATGTATTTGAGAGACAACAAGTGCTCATTGTGCAAATGTATTTAATCTGTTTTACCTCATTTTTAGCAGCATGTCACCTGTGCAGCTAGAGGCAACACAATTCTGGATCACTCCACACACAGAAACACATACAAGGCTCTCCCTTGCCCTCCTTTTGGCAAATCTGACCATAAATCTAACCTCTTGATTCCTGTTTACAAGCAAAAACTCAAACAGGAAGTACCAGTGACGCGCTCAATACGGAAATGGTCAGATGAAGCAGATGCTAAGCTACAGGACTGTTTCGCTAGCACATACTGGAATATGTTCCGGGATTCATCCGATGGCATTGAGGAGTTTACCACATCAGTCAACAGTTTCATTAATAAGTGCATCGACAACGTTGTCCCCACAGTGACCGAACGTATATATCCCAACCAGAAGCCACGGATTAAAGGCAACATCCACACTGAGGTAAAGGCTAGAGCTGCCGCTTTCAAGGAGCTGTAATACCTACGTTTCAAGCAGACAACCATAGTCCCTGTGCCCTGTAATCTGTCTAAATGACTATCGCCCCGTAGCACTCACATCTGTAACCATGAAATGCTTTCATCAACACCATCATCCCAGCACCCTGGACCCACTCCAATTTGCACACCGCCCCAAAAGATCCACATCTCAATTGCACTCCACACTGCCCTCTCTATTGCACTCAACACTGCCCTCTCCCACCTGGACAAGAGGAACACCTAATAACTATGTAAGAATGCTGTTAATCGAATACAGCTCAGCGTTCAACACCATAGTGCCATCCAAGCTCATCACTAAGCTCATGATCCTGGGACTGAACACCTCCCTCTGCAACTGGATCCTGGACCTCCTGACGGGCCGCCCCCAGGTGGTGAGGGTAGGCAACAACACGTCCACCACGCTGACCCTCAACACGGGGGCCCCTCAGGGGTATGTGCTTAGTCCCCTCCTGTACTCCCTGTTCACCCACGACTGTGTGGCCGCGCACGCCTCCAACATCATCATTACGTTTGCTGACGACACGATGGTGGTAGGCCTGATCACAGACGATAATGAGACAGCCTATAGGGAGGAGGTCAGTGACTCGGCCCTCAATGTCAGCAAGACTAAGCAGCTGATCGTGGACAACAGGAAACGGAGGGTCGAGCACGCCCCCATCCACATCAACGGGGCTGTAGTGGAGCGGGTCGAGAGCTTCAAGTTCCTTGGTGTCCACATCACTAAGGAATTAACATGGTCCACACACACCAACACAGTTGTGAAGAAGGCACTACACCGCCTCTTCCCCCTCAGGAGGCTAAACAGCTTTGGCATGGGCTCTCAGATCCTCAAAAAGTTATACAGTTGCACCATTGAGAGCATGACTGGCTGCATCACCGCTTGGTACGGCAACTGCTTGGCATCCGACCGCAAGGCACTACAGGGTAATGCGTATGGCCCATTACATCACTGGAGCCGAGCTCTCTGCCATCCAGGACCTCTATACCAGGCGGTGTCAATCCAACCAATCCAACCAACACTAAACTGTGGTTGCGTTTCCATGCTCAGACGTTGCATGCATCAACCAATGGTTGGGTGCCACGTCATCGACTGTGATGTCGTACACCAAAATTGCTATAACATATGATGTGGTTAGCTGATACGTAAAATACCTATCCAGGCGTTGTAAGATCTGGCAGGCATCAGCAATGCCTGGGCAGAGGAACGCGCCCATAATCTACAGCATTTTAAAACTTTAAACTGGTTCAATGCACAAATAAATCAGCACAATCAACTTTTTTGTTTTTTCAAATTGGCAGCGTCTTGGATCAATTATTTTTTTCAAGTTGTATTAGTCGTATGTACAGGATACACATGGTGTACACTGTCCAATGAAATGCTTACTTCCTTCTCGACAATGCAACAACAATAAGAAATAAGAAAATATAAGAATACGAACATAAAGTAAATGGCTCAGTAGAATAGAATAGACATTTTAGCACCAGTATAATACAGGAAGGCACAATTTACTGTACAATATTTATACGTATCAAGGAACGGGGGATTAGGAGGCAAGTGTTTAAACTGTGCAGTATTAGCAGTAGTAGATAAGAGTCTGGTAGCAGAAGTTTGATGTGATGTATGTGTAGCAGTGGAAACTGCTGAGGGTAGGACGGCTCATAATAATGGCTGGAATGGAGAACGGAATGGTATCAGACACGTGGTTTCCATGTGGTTGATGACATTCCAATGACTCCATTCCAGCCATTATTATGAGCCGTCCTCCCCTCAGCAGCCTCCACTGATGTGTAGCATGAATGTATATATGTGTGTGTGTATGTTTCCTTAGTAAATAAGAGTCTGCCCAGCTGGATCATGTATACTGTGCTAATGACGATACAAAAAAAGAGTAACGGAGAGCAATGTACAATAGGATGAACTGAGCCAACAAGGCATTTGTGGTAAGTGCATGGGGGCCGCCATCTTTATGCACTTCTGCTATTCTGATCTTTTGCCCAATTATTGGCAAAAGAGCTGATCTGATTGGTCAAAAGACCAATTAGTGGAAAAATAATCAGAATTTGCTTTTGAGTTGTTAAAAGGAAGTTGTAGTTCATTTTAATTGTATGGTTTCCAGTTGCCATTCCAGTCTGAACAGTCTGCAAAGTGTTTGGCACAAGCTGCACATCTATAAATGATAGATTCTTTCATGCGCTAAAGTGGAGTGAAGTCTGTGAGGTTCCTTCCAACCTTTCCATCCGCTTATTTTTTGTTCCCATAACCTGCCACATTAATTCTCCTAAACTGCTATGTTAACAAACCACCAGTGCCGACAAACCATCACTATCACCACACCTGTTTTTGCACGACACAATTACCTATTTTAATTGTATGTGATTTTATTGGGCTTCATAATTAGATCACATCACACATTAGTAATTTAATGTGAATCAGAAAATCTGAATATGCCCGATTATGCAAACATTATGTTATCTCTCCCTCCCTCCCTCCCCCCTCCCCCCTCTCCCTCCCCCCCTCCCCCCCTCTCCCTCCCCCCACTCTCTCTCTCTCTCTCTCTCTCTCTCTCTGTCTCTCCCTCTTTAACTCTTTCCCTCCCTACCCCACTCCCTCCCTCCCTCCCTCTCCCCTCTCCTCTCTCCCCTTCTCTCTCTTTCCCTCCCTCCCCCTCTCTCTCTCCCTCCCTCTATATTTCCCTCCCTAACCCCCCTCTGTCTCCCACCCTCTCTCCCCCTCCATCTCTCCCTCTCCCTCCCCCTCCATCTCTCCCTCTCCCTCCCTCCCACCCTCTCTCTCCCTCCCACCCTCTCTCTCTCCCTCCGTCTCTCCTCCCTCTCTCTCCCACCCTCTCTCCCTCCGTTTCTCCTCTCTCTCCCACCCTCTCTCTCTCCCTCTCTCCATCTCTCTTTCCTTCCCTCCCCCTCTCTCTCTCCACCCTCTGCCCCTTATCACACAATGGGAAAATCTCAATAGTGTCTCCTCGCAACCTCTCTCCTCACCTCCTTCTCAAAACCCATTGAAGGAGAAAGTCAGAGGGGCGGGATCTCTGGCTTTCTCATCCAATGGGTTTTGAGAAGGAGGCGTGGAGAGAGGATGCGAGGAGGATGCAATTGAGATCCTCCCACAGATAGGCTGGCTATGCCTAGACAACACATTCATAAACGGGCTGACACTAGGCTGGCGACTGTGGACGGAGAACAGAAGAGCAAATTTCATCCCAAATATAATACGAGGTGTTCGTTTGATTAAAACGGACACAACATTCTAGAGTTTGGCCTCACTTGACCAGCGTAGGTTACACTATGGAGATCCAGAGCGTGGAATAGAGACGGACCGAGTAGCCTATCATATCTAAACCGATGATGAGCGGAGTTACCTCTGGCACAGGCTCGGCTTCGTGCCGCTTCGCCCAGTACTTCGTGGTATGTGGATTGGACACGGAGACTGGTCTAGAACCCGAAGAATTAGCTGGTAAATATTGTTTTTTATTGATAGCCTATTAGAACATAATATAGAATAACAAAAAAAAAAACGTTAACTCGAAAGCGAAATCACCGAGAGGTCTTTCAATCAATTGACCGTCCAAGCCTTTTTTTTTAGCGAGCCCAGTCATGTGAGAAGTGCAATGGTGCCTATCCATCCAGTGTCAGTGAGGCGTCAGGAAAACAGCTGAGATTGTGAAGGTCAGCTGGGAGTATTTATTGTCGTGACGGTCACAGCCGAGCAGATATAGAAATCCCTTAATAAATTCATCAGATTGCCTTCTCAATCACTACATATTTAACCAAATGCCGTTTTGACTGATGAGCAACTCCAGTCCTCGTGGCCGGAGTGGTGTCACACTTCCTCCCCCCTCCATTCCTAACAAACAGCTGAAAAGTATTAATTGAAGATCATGTTTAGTTGATTATTGGAGTCGAGTGTATTTACTGGGGCTGAGGGAAAAGTGTGACACCAATCATGCCCCGGAGAACTGGAGTTTTCCATCCCTGGCCTATATAGATCCACGATTATAACATAATGTTTTGTGTTTTTATTGTCATTATAAAGTCCGCTGAACACTACCCACATCACTCCTTGGGGGATGTGGTTGTGTAGTTATTAGAGGAGGTAGGCTGATACCAACCATGTAGGCCAGGGTATTCAACTTTTACCCTATGACAGGGATGGGCAACTCACTTCCCCATTCCTAGCAAAGACTTCTGATTTAAACTAATTACATTTTAAAACTGAAAATCATTATTAGTTGATTATTGGAATCGGGTGTGTTAGCTGGGGCTAAAGTGTGAAACCAGTCAGGCCCCTGAGGACTGAAGTTGCCCATACCTGCCCTACGAGATCCAGAGCCTACTGGTTTTCTGTTCTACCTGATAACAGAAGAAAACAATCTGAAAAGGAGTGAGATGAACTTGTACTATCCGAACTTGTCCGACAAATGCAAAAAAACAAAAAACATTTCGAAACATTTGGTACCATAATCAATGAACATGACCCAGGCTAGTAGCACACAAGTCCACCACAGGATGGGACAGGGAGGCGGATGGTGGTCTGTGATAAGACTGGAATCATCAGGGGAGGAGATTAACTGGGGCTGGAGCAGAGCCACCAAAGAGTTTAGTCTGCTTTGTGTTTTCCATGGGAAAAATATTGCGATACTGTTATCGTCACCGCCCTAAGCAGTGAACACGGCCCTGGCTGCCAGTCTGTTTCTTCTGTAGCCAACTCCTTTGTGGTTGTTCTAGCCTACCAATGGGCAAGAGCCTCTTCTGGTCAGGTCACCTGGATGCAGTGGTGGAGTGAGTCAGATTGCCATGGCGACCATGACAGTCAACCACAGTGATGCCGCGGTCGTGCCTGAACCCTGAGGGGGGGAAGTGGTCTCTTCCAGAGCTATATGGCTAGGCTCTTTCATGACATTATCTCTAAGAGAAAAGACACACCGCGAAGATGAATGGCTAAAGCAGTGGGTGGCCTTCCTATCGGCTCTGACCAGAATATCGGAAGTCATTTTTCTGTTGAATCTTCATTTTCTGTTAAATGTTGAATCGCCGCCGTTCGTTCTCACCCAGCAGGCAATCGCTAGTTAATCACAGCCACCCGCTGCTTTTAGCAAATCGTCTTCATGGTGTAGCTTTTCCTGAATCCTCCTTTATCTCATTCCATATATGAGATAAAGTGTGTGTGTGAAATATAACATTTGTATGGTTAAGAGGTTGTTGGTACAGAAATGGCTATAAAATAGAGTTTCCTCTTTACAGCCCTCAGGTTGTTGACACCAGCAGGATTAAAAGGGAGGGTGCTGGGAGAGAGTCCCTATGGTGTGGAAATGGTAGGCTATATTGCAAGCTCTGGTATATTGGATTCTCAATACTAAGTCCTCAGTGAGGAAGAGGCAAGGTTATGTGTTCTATTCAGAATAGAACAATCTGCACCATCTTCCCACTGCCTCTCTGTCATTGTCAAATCACAGAACACACACAGTCACACCCTGTATTCTTTGTGGAGGTGGGGGAGAAGGACAGGGGAGGGAGCATCCAAGGCAGAGTAGATCCCCAGGGAACATGGCGGGGTGGTAACCGGACACATTTAACCCTCTGACTGTCGTCATGCAGCCTAGCTAGCCTAGTGTTTGTGTCAGGATGTGAAAATGAAAAACCCCATCCTTACACTACCCCCCTTCACATTCACAAGAGGATCACCTGATCAGACTGCGTAGTGAAAAGGAAAGGACACCACTTAGTATTACTGTTAGTTAGAAGCTCATTTTCTTGTGTGTGTGTGTTGGACAGTAGTGATGGCAGGCTCCCTGCTGGGGGGGATCTGGCCTTCACCTATCTGCTTATGTAACATCAGGTCTTACTAATCTCTGCTCCAGCCGGGGGCTGCACTCTGCCTTTCAGGGATTTGTGTGCGTGCTGGTAGATAAATGTGTTTCTTTGAGGGGTGTGTGTGTCTGCATATCTGTCGATGGTGAATGTTTTTTTTTTTTCCAGATATGTTTTTTTTTCTCGTGTTTGTAATTGGAGAGTGTCTTCAAATAAACAATCTGCTCTTGTTGGCCTCTCAATAGATGCCTCTGTGTTTCTGCAGCCCTAATCAAATTTCACATGACGTTCCCGGTTGGAATGCCGGGTCACCATGGTTTCAGCTCCTGGCTCCGAGCGGACTGGTGACTGTCACAGGGAATGACATCGGTGTCAGACGGGAACCACAGTGGGATGTTCAGTGACACTGAAATGTCGTGTGTGATATCACTGGATCAAAAAGGCTTTTTTCAGAATAAACATTAAAGGTGTGTCAAGGAGGAAAGTTTAGAGTCTTATAGCCTATTACAACCATGCTTAAAGTGATCATGAACACAGCCTGCAATTAATTTGTTTTTGATTGGAGAAGGAAGACTAGGATGGACTGTAAAAATCCCTATTGAAGTCCAATTAGGCTATGTTCAATACAATTGAATATGAAAGGCTGGCGATTATACATTGCGTTTTTATCTTGTGAACTCTTCGTTGCTTCTGTAACCAATCAATGATCAAACCCGAGTCGTCCATTCTTGAGAATGTGTTATCCCTCTGAGCTAAAGCCTTCACAAGGTTAGATATCATTTGAGAAAGCATAGTTCAGCAAACCACCCCGAAACATTTATTCAACCAGGAGACCGGCGTAGGAGATTCTTATAATTGAGACGGTGTCTGCTCATTCTGTCTTTTCATCTCTCAACCCACCTCCATCTCTCTCTCTCTCTCGTTCTCCTCCCCCTCGTCTGTCCATCCGTGGGTGTGACGAATTGAATGTGGTTAGGCAAAGATGAAATGCATCTCTCTATTCACTCATCCAGTCATCCCTGTCTCGATCTGTCTGTTTGAAGGATGGAAAGCTGCGCATGACTGTTAATCATACGTTCAAATATCTATCAACCGTGAAACGTCAGCTGTTTCATCATAGGCCTCTTTTGTCTTTAGGTGTCAGATCCCTCCTCTCTGTTTGTCTGCCTATCTACTGTATGAGAGAACTGGGTGTTTTTACACTTTAGAGTAAGCCTACTAGGATCCGATGAAATTGTATGTGTTTGGAATCTTCTTTAACATCACAAACACTACATCTATAGACTAATGAAAACCAGATGTCATCCTGTGATCAATCAGCAATGTTCATTAGGGCACACCGTATCAAAATGTTTTAAAAACGTTTCGCAACAAACCAAGTCAAACCTTTTTTTATTGGACAAGGTCTGGTAGTGCCTTCCCATTTGATAGAGTTTTCTTCTGTAAGTGTGCCTGCTGAAAAAAGACTCCAGTTTCATAATGAAATGGTAATATGTGGCATAACATGGTGTCGTCCTCTTACTGAGGCTGAGCGCTGTCGTGACTCTGACTAAACGCCCCTTGAGAAATCCATCCATCCATGCTGGAGTGGGATCCTGTGGTGTTGAGATTCCACGCAGTGTCTGGGAGACAGTGACGTTGCAGTGTCTGGAGTGGAACTGTGAGAATGAGGCCTTCTTCCAATGCGAATTAACTTTATCCTTCATTCTTTCTGTCTTCTGTTCTTTGTCCTTCCTTCCTCTGAGTAAACACTGATCCCTCATGACAGAAGTGGTGTGAGCATACATGTACGTAGGAGAATCAAGCTTTCGCTGGTGTTACTTCATGAAGGGATCAATGCGTTTTGGTAGTGTTTTACCATGGCCAGCAGATCTTTTGTGGTCTCTCTGGAGTGGGCTGAGCTGATTTCACAGTGCTTTGGGGGAGATGTCTAGTTGGGGGATGATGATGATGATGATGATGATGGTAGTCACACAGCCTAACCGAGGCACCGTTTAATCTTTCATCCACAGAACCATAACAAGCCACCCTCCCCCTTTCTTTTCCTCCATCTCTCCATCCCACTTCTCTTTCTGTCAGTTGAACCCTCTCGCCTCCTACCTTCCTCTTTCTCTCGTTCTCTCTCCCCTAAAAATCTTTCTTTAATGTGGTCAGCAACTTCTTAAAATTTCACTTCAATCTCTGACACAACACTCCGGAAGCTAAAAAACATCAGCATACCATTCATTCACCAGTGCACTATTCATTTCAAGTGTTTTATGTTTAAATGGGTCATGGTAAGGCATTAGAAGAACAGGTTCAGCACTGAGCAGTGAAACCCAAATTACAATCCCAGGCATGGTCTGGATTAAATACAGCTTTCGCACAGATGTTTGATGTTGCCTCGTGTGTGTGTGTGTGTGTGTGTGTGTGCATGCGCATTGTACATTGTGTGATTCCCCAATGGCTGGCTGAGTGTGTGTGTGTGTGTGTGAATGTTCACCTAACTTAGTGGGTAAGAGCGTTGTGCCAGTAACCGAAAGGTCGCTGGTTCTAATCCCCGGGCCGACTAGGTGAAAAATCTGTCGATGTGCCCTTAAGCAAGGCACTTAACCCTAATTGCTCCTGTAAGTCGCTCTGGATAAGAGCGTCTGCTAAATGACTCAAATGTAAATGTAACTAATTGCGTCAGCTGATGACTGTCTTCTTCAAGGCCATGGCAACCGTAACGCCAGCAGAAACGGCTACCATGGCAACCAGACATCGTTCTCCTCTTGACAACGAGGCCCTGAGGAAGCTCGAAGGCCTGGTAGATAAACACAAAGACCACAATGTGACGCCTCATCACATCTCTGCCTGCCGTGTCCCTTGATTTAAAATCAAAATAGAGGATCGGTACGGTACAACACTCGGCAAGATGGTGTCGTTTTTAATACCAGCTCTGATTCTCTTCCTTATCACACTGATATCCAACATGGCTGCCCTGTCCTCAAAACATTGCATGTGTACAACCCACCCACCTGGGTCGTATTCAATAGGGCACACCGTAGCAAAATGTTACGCAATTCTTATTGGACATGTTCTGGTAGTCCCTCCCCATTTCAGGCCATTTTGTTCCTAGTGAATAGGACCCAGGCTTCATTACTACCCACCCACCGGCATCATTTCAAAGCAAAGCAACCCTCAGTTTTGATCAGTCTATTGCCTTCGGCATCCTTTCTGTTCTCGGCTTTCCGTGCGTCATCGGAGAAGCAGGTGGAATGCTGGAATCTGGCTGGATAAGTGGATATGCGTCAAAGCAAGCATTAGATTGTAAGATGTGTTTTTGAGCAGCGAGTGTTGCTCTTCCTGCTCTGTGTGTGTGTGTGTGTGTGTGTGTGTGTGTGCGCGCATCCAAATGCCAGACAGAGTAGTAATGGGGAGAGTGGTGCACTCAAGGGAAGGAGAGTGACGGTGTTCCTTTAAATGAGGTAGTGTGAGTACTCACCAGTGTCTTACACACACGGCATATGGTTTACTATCCTTGTGGGGGCCTAACAGCTTATTCCCATTCAAAATCCTATTTTCCCTAACCCTTAATTGTAAACCTAAATTAGCCTTTTTCCTCGTGGGGACGTGGGAAATGTCCCCACTAGGTAAAATGTTCCTTGTTTTACTATCCTTGTTGGGACTTTTGGGGACCACGAGGATAGTAATACACACACGCAGACACACACACACACACACACACACACATACACAGAGCTCTCTTTATGTAACTGGAGAAGGCAGCTGACATGGGACAGTGAGGGAGGCAGGAGATGCATCAGGCAGACAAGGTAATACATCAAGGTCAGAGGAAGTGTGTGTGTATGTGTGTGTATGTCACTGGTGACGCACTCAAACGGCCTCTAATTTTTAAAGGAATTCTATCCTTCCCTTCATCCAAACCAAGGATGGTATTTTTTTTATCAGGCCCCAAGTTCAACATGTACCGTTAATTTGGGATGCATTCTGTGCATTGCTTCTGCTTCTACAACATCTTTACTCATTCTCAGCGTGAGGGGATGAGGGCGTTGTAGCTGCTGTGAAAGCTCCTCTGGGGTGGTTGTGATATAAGTCTGGGCCTCCCAGGGCTTCCCCTCTTCACTGTAGAACCACCGCTCTGTCTCACCCCTCTGTCTCACCCCTCTGTCTCACCCCTCTGTCTCACCCCTCTGTCTCACCCCTCTGTCTCACCCCTCTGTCTCACCCCTCTGTCTCACCTTTCTACATTTTCTACTAGCCCGGTCTGAAAATGGCGGTCTACCTTAAAATCCATCTCTGGTCTCAACCCTCTACTCTACGATCTCACCTCTAGCTCAATAAAGGGATTCAACACACACAGGGTTTTTTAGCTGGTGTCAGATGAAGGGTAAATGGTTGTGCTCTCTGATATTAAATCCTGACCCTGTCTGGTAACCGCCGTGTTCTCTGCCATGTCCCCTTATTAAGAATTCAGTGCGATGATGAAGGTCACTTGTCCCTCTGATTTTGTCTGTGCCAGTATTGCAACGCTGACATACTCACTCTTTCTTTGTCTCTAACCCGCCCTCTCTCGCCACTCTTATTTCAACATCTGTCTATCTCTCATCTCTTTCCTAGGTGAGAGCTTTGAGCAGAGCCCCCTCCGGAGGTCCTTCAAGTCCAAGGTTCTGTCCCACTACCCTGAGAGCACAGACAGGAGTCCCTTCAACAGAGATGCAGTCAACATGGTAAGATAGTGGAGCTAGGATATGTTTAGAGAACTTAATATACATAGAAAAGGGTTAAGTCTGTATTTTTATGCCATTTGGGCTGTTTTAGCCCTTTCTAGAGATGGTTGTCGTGTGTGCATGTGAAAACGGCTTCATTTATTGCGTTCATTACAAGAAAATGTGTTTATGTTGAATTACAGTACATCTTATTGTGGACATTCTGTTGTACATGTGTTTTACACAGAATAGGGGACTTTATATCTGTTTGTGCACCATTGTTTTGTTATTGTATGTTTCTGGGCTTTTTCTTGGGTTAAACAATGCAAATCTGTCAGCGTAAATGAGTAATTGAACCAATTGAAAGTAATAAACAAAAAGCTGATGGTTTGTCACTGCTGTGACATCACTTTTTTTTTTTGTTCTCCTGTACCACAATGCGTTTCTCTTTTTTATGCAAATCAGATAATGTTTTCTGTTTTCAAGTGTTAACATTTTTAACAAGGATGTATAGATTTTTGTAACATTTGTATCCTTCAAAATGTATGTAATTTTAATTTAAAAAAAAAGTTGTTTTATGGCACAATATTGTATAAACAAGTCTGGATAATGAAAGCACTAGGCAGGAACTCGACAGCATCGAATTTAAATGAACCAATAAACAAACACAGTTTTTCATGACGCTAAAGCCTGTTGTGAGCAGTCTTCCTACAGACACTAAAGTACTTTGTAACAGATGGCTAGAGCACCTTTTCACGGAGCCACAATCAGATCTGACTCTCTCTCCACAAATAAGGCCCCTTGGATTTTAAAAGTATTTTTTTTACCCCTTTTCTTCCCCAATTTCGTGATATCCAATTGATAGTTAGTCTTGTCCCGTCGCTGAAACTCCCATACGGACTCGAGAGGCGAAGGTCTAGAGCTATGCGTCCTCCGAAAAACGACCCGGCGAAGCTGCACTGCTTCTTGACACACTGCTCGCTTAACCTGGAAGCCAGCCGCACTAATGTGTCGGAGGAAACACCGTACAACTGGCAACCGAAGGAGCGTGCATGCGCCCAGCCCGCCACAAGGAGTCGCTAGAGCGCAATGGGACGAGGACATCCCAGCCGGCCAAACTCTCCCCTAACCCAGACGACGCTGGGCCAATTGTGCGCTGCCTCATGGGAGTCGCGGCCGGCTGCGACACAGTCCGGGATCGAACCCGGGTCTGTAGTGACGCCTCAAGCACTGCGATGCGAATAAGGCTAGTCTTCAATATTGTTTGTCAGAATGGACGCTCTTCAGAATGATTTGACCCCTCTCATCCCTGTCCATAATTTCTGTGTTTGTCATTCTTTCTGTACCCCTTCATCCTTTCCTTTCGCTCTCCACCTTTTCTCTTTTTTCCTCTGATGTCCTCTAAAACATCCCAACTCACTCTTCCATCGGCATCTCTCCCACCACCTCTTTATCCTCCTCCCTCCATCTTTCTCAGTTTCTTTCCCCCATATCACCTCATCCCATGTCTCTCTTTTCCTCCCTTCATCTCTCGTTCTCCATATTCCTCCGTCCTCTCTCTCTCTTCACCTCTTTTTCTCCATCTCTCTCGAAACTCCCTCCTCCTCATATCTCTCTCTCTCTTTCCCCAGCTCTGCATGCCGCGGGGCCTGTCGTTCCGTAGTCAGGCGGACAGCCGCGAGCACCGCTTCCACTCCTTCACGGTCGCTCGGGACGACGGCACACACTCCTACGGCTTTGTGCACACATACTATGAGGAGGTGACGAGTGCCCAGATCACCGCGGCGATGCAGACCCTCCATCAGATGCACCACGTGGAGCATCACTCCATCTCTTCTTCATCTCCCTCTTCCTCCGCCTCCTCCCCCTCCACATCCAGCATGGACTCTCTGGTGAGCAGCCTGGACGAGTCAGACGCCGCTTCCCTGGCAGAGCACCCCCTATCGGCTTGTTTGGGCTGCGCGGCGGGCTCCTTCCAGCCGGCTCGGGACACCCTGTACGCCTCCAAGGCCCTCTGCCTCCTGACGCCCCTCCCCTTCCTCCTCGCCGCCCGCCACTTCCTGTCCCAGCTGCACCAGGCGGTGACGTCGCACGCCGCCCCGCCGCTACCCCTGGAGAGCTACATCCACAACATCCTGTATGAGGTGCCCGCGCCCCCGCCCGGTCGGTCGCTCCGGTTCCACGGGGTCCAGGGGCCCATCATGTGCCAGCAGCCCGGCCCGGAGGAGCTCCCGCTGGGGGACTACCCACTGGGAGAGGCCTTCTCTCTGCTGGGGGTGGAGAACCTGGTGAGACTGCTCACCTCCGTGCTACTGGAGACCCAGGTCCTGCTTTACTCACAAGGTAAGGACCAAAAGACCAGGCAGCGTTCACTGAAAGATCAACAACCTAGGTTGTTTCGATTCTTTAATTTATTTTCTAACCTTCACCCAAAAGTGTGCACTTGTTCAATTCCCATCATGCACTTAAATGTATTAGATCGGTGCAAGCATGACTCTAGGGAGTTGCCACCATATTCCCAATCCTTACACTAGTCCAGTGTTTCCCAACTCCAGTCCTCCAGTACCGACAACAGCACACGTTGTTGTAGCCCCAGACAAACGCAACTAATCATCAAGCCCTCAATTTGTTTAATCAGGTGAGTTTGTCAGGGGCTACAACAAAAATGTGTACTGTTGGGGGTACTGGAGTTGGGAAACACTGGACTAGTGTAAGGATTGGGAATATGGTGGCAACTCCCTAGAGTCATGCTTGCACCGATCTAATACTACTAGTCCATGGAGTGTATGAGTGTATACTTTTGAGATTCAGACCACAGCCTAATCACAACTAAAACTTCACCACAACAATTCAACACATGTATCCATGATATGAGTACCACCCAGGGTCAAATTCCTCAAATCGGCAACAATTAAAATGTCACTCAATCTCCCCCCCTCCGTCTCTGTCTCCATACTACCAAAGGTTGACGACAACAACTTAACAACAATTCAACACGTTAGTATACCAAGGTCAAATTCCCTCAGTCTTTCCATCTCTCTGTCTCCAGACTACCAGCGGTTGATGACTCTGGCAGAGGGCATCACCACCCTGCTGTTCCCGTTCCAGTGGCAGCATGTCTACCTGCCCATCCTACCGGCGCCCCTGCACCACCTCCTGGATGCACCCGTGCCCTTCCTCATGGGTATCCAGCGGAGGGACGGCACCCAACGCTCCACTCTGGATCTGTCCCATGAGGTACAGTATTAGAATGGCATGTACTTAGTACTTAGTCATTTGTGTTTGGGACTGTAGCCATGTAATGGACACCTTTTTTATACACATTTTGACCCTCGAAATGGCTTTATTTAACCAGTGAACTTATTGAGAACACATCTTCTTTAATAACCACCTGACCAAGAGGGAGACTTTAATAACCACCTGACCAAGAGGGAGACTTTAATAACCACCTGACCAAGAGGGAGACTTTAATAACCACCTGACCAAGAGGGAGACTTTAATAACCACCTGACCAAGAGGGAGACTTTAATAACCACCTGACCAAGAGGGAGACTTTAATAACTACCTGACCAAGAGGGAGTGATGATAAATCTATTTAACTTGAGATGCAGTAGGACAAACAATGTTCTCACTCATTCCAAAGTTCCTATTTCTCTATTAAGAATGGGAGGTTGCTGAATCTACATACCTAGTTTGTGAGTTTTAAATCCACTATTCAATCACAATTCTACTTGCTTTACCACATGGAATTTGAAGCATTTTAGTTCACATTCTCTAGCATTCTAGTAGGCATTGTGATACACATTTTGACAGGCATTCACTGACCTTGCAAAACCTTCCAACAAGCTTTCGAGCACAGTCTAATGTAAGCCATTCTAATAAAATACATTCCAGTACGCATTGTAACACAGTGAAAAGAGCATTGTAACATTTGCTGCATTCTTGCAGTGCCTGTACTAATTAATCCTATTATGGTTGCATATTAATATCCCCCTGCTCTCTAGTGCTGGCGAAATATAGAAATTCACGCATCTCCTCCGGCGAGCTCCTCCGCTTCTCCCTTCTCTCCCCAAATCCAAAAATCACACCATGCTGCATAAGCGTTTTGCTAGGTTTGCATCCCAAATGACACCCTATTCCCTATATAGTGCACTACTTTTGACCAGAGGGCTTTATGTAGGGTATAGGATGCCATTTAGGATTTGAAGTGGTAAAGCCGGCCCATAAATGCACCAGGAGAAGGAGAGAGCTGAGCCTTTCCAGAGAAATCAGACAATGTGAATAATGAACAGTTTATTTCTGGATGTGTTTTGAGAGGATAAGGGTGACACAGTAGGTAGCAATGGAATGCACACTATGCAGATAGCAGAACGCATCGAGAGCGTGTCCTGTCGTATAAAATATCTTTCTACAATCCCCTCCTTGTAGTTCCAGCCTTCCATCAGGATTGAAGGGTTTTATCTGTATTCTTATCCAAAGACATTTAGCTTTTTTAACAGCACATAGATTTGTTTTGATGGAATTTAGCTGATGCATCACAGTGGAATGTCCACAGTTTTAGTCATGGTGAATTGGGTCACCATACTGCGAGGGCGGGGTTTATTATAGAGGGTTTATGTTGCCTTTCCCATGAGAAGGAGCAACGAAGCGTTTTAATCAGATCACCCTTTTAAAGGCAAATTCTACGTTATTTACAGACATGTTTGATCACTTAAATTAACGATACCCATTGATCATACTCGTTCTTGAAGAATATCACTTTGTCTTGTTGTTTTTCAAGTTGAGGAGTGGCCTTTACACTAGTACTGTAAACAAACGGTAGTCTGTGTGAATCAGTCTCACCACATCCAGTTAAGAAAAAGCACCATGTTTTTGGCGTAACGTCAGTGCTGTGTTTGGACACTAAAGCAGAGCACACTGTCGACGCTGTTGAATGGGATTTGGTGTCAGTCTCTGACGTAGTTCTATGTGCCAGGCCAGTGCCTGCTTGGGTTCTCTCCAGAGGTTGATTCATTTCTCTGACTGTTTTGGCATTTATTTAAAAAGTTGTCTGTGAATGAGGTTATGTGCATGAAACTTAGCCTGGTCCCTGATCTTTTTTTGCTGTTTAGCCAACTCCAATGGTCAGAGTTGGCTAAACAGCACAACGAGATCTGGGACCAGGCTACGTAAAACTAGTATATGTAGTCCCCTTTAGCTCAGTTGGTAGAGCATGGTCGCTTGCAACGCCAGGGTTGTGGGTTCGTTTCCCACGGGGGGCCAGTATGAAAATGTATGCACTCACTGACTAAAATTTAAATGTATATGCCAAGAGAGATGGGCCATAGAGGGGGCGTTTTGAGAGGGGAAGGAGGGGGGAGGTTAAAGGAGAGACGTAGGAAAAGTGTCCTCAACTCCCTAACTTCAAATCAAAGGGTGTAGATGGAGTGAGAGGAATCACATCTCTGCAGCTGCTCACTCACACTACGTCTCCCATGCTCCCCTGGGGCAGTACTTGTCAGAAGGTCATGGTGTTGCTGCGTAGACAACTGCTTAAGTAAGCCTTGTCTGAGCCAGGATGGCCCATATTACAGGAGACAGTCACCTGTTTCTGTAATTTGAGGCAGCTTGATGTACAAGTACACCCCCGTGGACATGGCACTAGCTTGCCGCAGGGCCTTAACCGTCGATCCATCTTGCTGAGTGCCAAGCAGAGACACCGGACCCATTTTTTGTCTTTGGTATGACTTGAACAGGGATCGAACCCCCAACACCCTAACCACAAGGCTACTAAGTTCATCTGACAACACACATCCTTACAGATGACTGTTGTACTTCATCAGTACAGTTGTGGGCCCTAAAAGTTAGGCTAGTTCGCACCACAGTATTTACAGAACAATTGCCTCAATGTGTGTGCAACACAGGACTCTAGTGTCTCCGGTTCAGGGTGGTAACTTATAGGAGCTATATGATTAAAAAATGTTTACTATCCACAACTGTACCACTGCTTGACTAACCTTTTTTTTAATTGGACCTGGATGTACAGAGGGTGCATCCCAATAACCTCTCTTAGCTCCTAAAGTGTCTATACGTTCACTACTCATCACAAATGTAAAAGCAACAGATTGGTGTTGTCATGGGCCAGAGGGAGTTTCCATAGACCAGTCATTTTCCTTTCAAAACCATGAAGGGAATTGAACAAGTGCCCACTTCGGGAGATATGAATTGAGACGCACCCAGTGTGTGCAGGCTTTTGTTCTAGCCAAGACTGTGAAGATCACTGTTACTTGCTCTGACAGGCCTATAACAATTAGCTAAATGTAATGTATGATGTGTATTCAGGGCCGGCTCCAGGCGCTTACTGTTGAGAGTTTGAATGGTAGAATACACAAGCAGCAAGTTCCACATTTGGTTATGCATCAGCAATTTTTTCTCTTGTTTTGTCAGTCACTGACAGTCACTCAATTAGCCATGTCAGCCCCCCCCAAAAAAAGATTGGTAGTTAGTCTAGCCAGTTATCTAAAACTTGTAGTCATCATGGCTGACTTCCTAACGGGCACATGCCAAGGGGCCCTGACCTCCAGGAGGCCCCCATTTTAAATTCTGTAAGTCACTCTCACTCCGATATCATTAACATGGCAAAAAAAAGAAGAAAAAAAAAAGAAAAGGACATTTGCTTTAAAATGGCAACAATGTCTATGGCATAATGTGTTGAATTGCAGGAAATTAACTTAATATGTAAATATTTCTCTCCAACGTCAGGAGGGGGCCACTAGAAAAATGTGCCCACTTGGTGGGGGGGCCCCTACCAAATCTCGCTTAGGGCCCCCAAAAGGCTAGATGTATTGTAGTGGAGGCTGCTGAGGGGAAGTACGGCTCATAATAATGTCTGGAACGGAGCAAATGGAATGGCATCGCACCATGTGTTTGATGTATTTGATACCATTCCACTAATTCTGCTCCAGCCATTACCATGAGACCGTCCTCCCCAATTTAAGGTGCCACCAACCTCCTGTGATGTATTGTAGCTTTGCTGTTTTTAACCTTTGCACATTTTTCCTATCCCCCTTTTTGTAAGTGATAACAGCAATAGTTTGCTAATGCTTCATATGCTAATATGTCAGAGTGTCTGTGCTAATCGTGGTCTAATGTCAACGAGCATGGTTAAATCGCTCTCTGATCTTAAAGGGATGTTTGCATACTTGGCCCTAATGCTATCAGTGGTAATCATCTCTGTACAGTCTGAATGATCTACATGAAGAAGAGTTGCTTGTTGCGCCACACTGCCAGGAATTCTCGTAGAAAACACTGATTATTTATTAGGACCTATTGATGGATCCTACTGACGTTCCGATTCCGCACGCTTCTCCCAAAGTATGCACTCCCTGTCATGGATTTAGCGACGATGGAAACTCCCTCCAGCCAATACTTAACTGCTAAGTCCATGATGGGGAGTGTGCATGTGTACACTTCGGGAAAGGTACCTTATTTGATAATGATAGTCATTATACAGATTCTTAAGTTTACTGTTGCCCCGCCCCCCCACTCCCAGGCCAATCTGTGCTTTGTGGACATTGACAACCACCGCGTGGATCCACCCGAGGACCTGCCCCTCTTCCCAGACCAGCCGGAGCTCGTCAAGGAGCTGAACGAGGTGCTGCTGCACTTCGGCCTCCAGCCATACGGGGGCACCACCACCACCAAGCCCGCCCCTGCCGCTCCCCCCTGCCTCAGCAGCCTAGTCCTGGAGGACCTGATGGAAGACCGGCGCAACGGGAACCTGGGAGGGGAGGAGTTGGCCGTGCTGGAACGACTGCAGGCACTGGCTAGGAGGTGTGGAGGAGGGGGGATGGCGGGAGGGAAGACACTGGGACGGGCGTTCCAGGAGGAAGAGGAGGAACTGAAGGCGGCTAAGATGAACGTGCAGCTGAGGGAGGTGTTCGCGGGGCGATTCACTTCCATGTTCGGGAGGTATGAAGAGTTTGTGATCCACAGCGCTCCCGACCTGGAGTCCTGGCTGGGCAACCGTGAGGGAATGAGCAACTTTGATAAGGTAATGGTGAAGATCGATCAACAATCACTCACTGAAGGAGGAATACCATAGACACTCATATCCATAGCCTACTCCTTCAGTCAGTAATCCTACATACATTGACAAGAAGCTCTCATTCAGGATAGAAGCAATATTCTACCACTGTTAGTGATTTCACCTGATAGTGATTTTATGTGACGCGTAAACGTTTTGTGTACTTGTGCATTTGCATCACCAGGGCTCTTTCCTGTCAGCACAGCCCGCCCCACACCGGCACTTCCTGTCTCGGTTCCTGGAGACGGCCATGTTTTCATCATTCGTGGACGGCAAGGTGTTATCTCGCTGGGCAGACCGGGAGCCACTGCAGCGCGTGTTTGACGGGCGCCTGGAGAGGGAGCGCCTCTACAACACGTTCGAGGACGATCCCGGCAACCGTCACTACAGGAAGTACACAGTACTCCATGAGTCAGGTGGGTTGGATTCAGGGGTGCTACAGTAGTACTCATTCAAGATTTCCCATTATTATTGCTAACTGCATGTGTTGGGGGCGAGGCCCCCCCCCCCCCCCCCACGTACACCCATCTCTGGTTGTGTTCATTAGGGAATGCAACAGAATAAAAAAATTAAAAAAAGCTTTTGTAACAGTACATGACAATGAGTGCTTCTTCTTGGAAAGGTTTAGATCACTGTTTCAGTCCAGTTTTGGGGGTTTGTTTCCTGATGAGCAGGGTTCTCCAATAGGCGGGCCGCGGGTGATGTATTTGGCCCCCCAAGTTTTCTGAGCAAAAAAGACTGTAAAATCACCAGGAAATGATTCTGTTTTTGTCAAATACTATGTATGTTTGGGGTTCTTGCTGTCAATTTGCAGTGTCAAAATTATAACTGTTCCGGCCCCTCGACCATCCCGCTCAAGGAAAAATAGGCCCACAGCTGAATGTAACTGGGGACCCCTGGCATAGAGGACATTGAGAGGCAGTGATTAGCTAAGGATACAAAGCATCTCCAAAACCACAGAACACATGTTGGATGGGTTCTAAAACCACAGAACACACGTTGGATGGGTTCTAAAACCACAGAACACACGTTGGATGGGTTCTAAAACCACAGAACACACGTTGGATGGGTTCTAAAACCACAGAACACACGTTGGATGGGTTCTAAAACCACAGAACACGCGTTGTATGGGTTCTAAAACCACAGAACACACGTTGTATGGGTTCTAAAACCACAGAACACGCGTTGTATGGGCTTGTCTTGTCCTTTTTTTCTTTCTACTCCGTATATTCCATCTGTTCCACCGACGAGGGAGCGCACCGTGGAATGCCAGCGCACCGTGGAACAAGAGAGGGATTGGGAATATTCAGTTCTGGAGAAATTAGAGGGGAAATGGAGTTCAGTATCAATCTGAGAGAATGAAAAGGTGAAGAGGGAGAGAGGAATACAGAGGGATGATGGTGAGAGGTGGAATATGAAGGGGAACGAGGAGGGGGGGATACTAGAGGGGTGGAGGTGGAGGGTGGGGATACTAGAGGGGTGGAGGGTGGGGATACTAGAGGGGTGGAGGGTGGGGATACTAGAGGGGTGGAGGAGGAGGGTGGGGATTACTAGAGGGGTGGAGGAGGAGGGTGGAGGGTGGGGATACTAGAGGTGGGGAGGTGGAGGGTGGGGATACTAGATGTGGTGATAGGTTTGGGGATTCTAGATGGGTGGAGTTGAGTTCTGGCGATTCTGAGGGTGGCAGAGGAGGGTGGCAGGGTGGGGATTTCCTAGGGGTGGTAGGGGAGGGTGGAGGGTGGGGATACTAGAGGGGTGGAGGGTGGGGATTCTAGAGGGGTGGAGGTGGAGGGTGGGGATTCTAGAGGGGTGGAGGAGGAGGGTGGAGGGTGGGATACTAGAGGGGTGGAGGATAAGTAGCACATGATGAGAGGAGGAAGAGGAAAACAGTACATTGTGTCCCTATAAAATATAATGAGACCCTCAAAACTCTCAGCTTTGAAGTTCTGCCAAGCGCTCTGCAGTGACTGCACCACTACGTCTGCTTCACAGTCGCTCTCTGTGTCTCTCTCTCTCTGTGTCTCTCTCTGTGTCTCTCTCTGTCTCTCTCTCTCTCTGTGTCTCTCTCTGTGTCTCTCTCTCTCTCTCTGTGTCTCTCTCTCTCTCTCTCTCTCTCTTTCTCTTTCTCTTTCTCTTTCTCTGTATCTCTTTCTCTGTGTCTGTCTCTCTCTTTCTCTGTATCTCTTTCTCTGTGTCTGTCTCTCTGTGTCTGTCTCTCTCTCTGTGTCTCTGTGTTGTCTCTTCTTCTGCTCTCTTGTGTCTCCTTCGTCTCTGTCTCTCTTTGTCTGTCTCTCTCTCTGCTCTCTTTGTCTGTCTCTGCTCTCTGTCGTCCTCTCTTGTCTCTCTGTTGTCTGTCTCTTGCTTCTGTCTCTGTGCTCTCTCTCTCTCTCTCTGTGTCTCTCTCTCTCTGTGTCTGTCTCCTCTCTCTCTCTGTGCTCTGTGTCCTCTCTCTTGTTGCTCTCTCTCTCTCTGCTCTCTCTCTCTTTGTGTGTCTCTCTCTCTGTTCTCTCTCTCTCTCTGTGTTGTTGTCTCTCTCTCTCTCTCTGTGTGTCTCTCTCTCTCTCGTTCTCTTGTGTCTCTCTCTCTGTTCTCTTTTGTGTCTCTCTCTCTCTCTGTGTTCCTCTCTCTCGCTCTCTGTGGTCTCTCTCTCTCCTCTCTCGTGTGTTTTCTCGCTTCTGTGTGTCTTCTCTCGTCTCTCTGTGTGTCTCTCTCTCTTCCTCTCTGTGTCTCTTCTCTCCTGTTGTCTCTCTCTCTCTGTCTGTCTCCTCTTCCTCTCTGTTTGTCTCTCTCTCTTGTGTCTCTCTCTCCTCTCTGTCGTTGTCTCTCTCTCTCTCTCTTGTGTCTCTCTCTCTCTCTCTCTCGTTTCTCCTCTCTCTCCTCTGTGTCTCTCTCTCTCTCTCTGTGTCTCTCTCTCTTCTCGTCTCTCTTGTCGTCTCTCTCCTGTGTCTCTTGTCTGTCTCATCCTCTTGTGTCTTCTTTGTCGTCCTCTCTCTCTCTGTCTCTCTCTTGTTGTCTCTCTCTCTCTCGGTCGTCTTCTCTCTCTCTTGTGTGTGTCTCTCTCTCTCTGTGTGTCTCTCTCCTCTTGTGTTGCTCTCTCTCTTCTCTCTCTGTGTTTTTGTCTCTCTCTTCTCTTCGTTGTCTCGTCTCTGTGTCTCTCTCGCTCTCTGTGTGTCTCTCTGCTCTCTGTGTGTCTCTCTCTCTCTTGTCCGTCTTTCTCTCTCTCTCTTCTGTGTGTCTCTCTCTCTCTCTCTGCTGTGTGTGTTTCTCTCTCGCTCTCTCTGTGTCTTGTCTCTCTCTCTCTCTCTGTGTGTCTCTTCTGTCTCTGTCTCTCTCTCTCTACTGTGTGTCTCTCTCTCTCTCTAGTGTGTCTCTCTCTCTACTGTGTGTCTCTCTCTCTCTGGTGTCTCTCCTCTCTCTGGTGTGTCTCTATCTCGTCTCTGTGGTGTCTCTCTCTCGCTCTACTGTGTGTGTCTTCTCTCTCGCTCTCTGTGTGTGTCTCTCTCTCGCTCTCTGTGTGTGTCTCTCTCTCGCTCTCTGTGTGTCTCTCTCTCGCTCTCTGTGGTGTCTCTCTCTCTCTCTCTCTGTGTGTGTCTGTCTCTCTCTCTCTGTATGTCTTTGTCTCTCTCTCTCTGTATGTCTCTGTCTCTCTCTCTCTGTCTCTGTGTATGTCTCTCTCTCTCTGTCCCTCTCTCTCTGTGTCTCTCTTTGTCTGTCTCTTTCTCTGTGTCTCTCTTTGTCTGTCTCTCTTTGTCTGTCTGTCTCTCTGTCTCTGTCTCTCTCTGTGTCTCTCTTTGACCGTCTCTCTCTCTCTGTTTAATAGTATATCTCCCTCCCTTTCTCTCCCTTCGTGTTTTCCAGGAATGTGGCCTTTAAAGCAAACCAGGGATTCACTTCCATATCGGGACAACAACACATGACCTTGTTTCTGCACAAAGAGCTTTCCAGATTAGACATACAGTATGACGCTGATCTAAAACTCTGGATTTGAAAGGAGGCTTATACAATGGTCATTCGATGTCAGACTGTAGAGCAATGAGGAGTTAGAAATGAAGATGACATAGCAAATACACTATTGAGGAGTGTCCTGTGTGGATCAATTGGTAAAGCATGGCACTTGCAACGCCTGGATCGTGTGTTCGAATCCCGCTGGTGCAACCCATACAAAAATGTATGAATGCATGACTATAAATCTCTTTGGATGAAGGAGTCTGCTAAATAGCATTCATATTATTATTATTATTATTATTATTATTATTATTATTATTATTATTATTATATTACTGCACTGGCCTGGTTACATATCCACCCTAGTTGCTGGAACCTGCTGGAAATGACAATGGTTGATCAGCGTAATTCCGTTACCATGGAATTTCCTCAATGTGACAGGAAAATATCAGGCAGCACAGTATGGCTTGGGTCAGCACAATAGTGTGAAAAGGTTTACTAGACACTGCCTCTCCTACAGCCTTCTCCAGTAGGCCCCACTCACATCCCCCACCTATATTATGCTCTGGTCCCCAGTCCAGGCCATGGAGCGCAGGCTGCTGAAGGCTGACCACACGGCCATCCACCCTCACCTGTTGGATATGCGGATTGGGCAGGGCCGACACCAGCAGGGCTGCTTCCCCAGGCTACAGGCTGATGTACTGGCGCAGGGACACCACCCCAACAAGTAAGTAACACATGCCCATATATACACAGACACACGTACACAACAATTACCTACACAAACACACACAGTACATTGTGTCTGATGCGGTTGCCCCTGTGTGCAGGTGGTCAAGTCGTAACACTCGCAGGAGCGACCCTAAGAGACCAGTGACCGCTGAGACCACCTCAGGACTGGACAATGACCAGAGAGAAGTAAACGCCTGCTTTACCTATAGCCCTTTTCCCTTACCTGGTGTAAGCAATACTGTGATGCCTTTACCTTTCTTTGCGTGAACACAATTCTGCCTTCTGGGTCATGTCCATAAGGGCACACAGTGGATTTTTTTTAATTTTTTTTTTTTTACATTTAGCAACAGAAAAAAGAAAATGAGCCTTTCTTATTGAACAAGTCCAGGTAGTGCCTCTCTGTTTCAGTCCTATCTACAAACCCAGGACTGGCTGGGCCAGTAAAGGAGTTATTGGTTGTTTTCAGAATCAACTTTTTAGTATTGTCTGATTGGCTGTTGTTCTCTGTTTATCCAATAGAAGTACTCCCCGGGGAGGAGGAGCATAAACCAGTCCAAGCTGCTTGACCCCTCCCCCTCAGCTGTCACTCAAACCCAGCGGGGGTTCGTGGAGGGGCTGCTGAGGGAGTGTCGCGTGAAGGTAAGGGGTCTCCTTATGGAGTCTGCATGCTTCCCAGCCGGTAGAGTTCGGGCATATATTAGGATGACATTTTGTGACGTTTTTGTTCGTTTTGGACTTCGGAAGGGTTTATTCGGCTGTTCGGTCTCACACATTTTTTTCGGGAGGCCAGCCTAAATTCGGAGCCGACGTCTACGCCCCTTCGTCAGTGATTGTTCAACAGTAGGGATTCTTCAATAAAGTCTTTGTTGTCATTCAACGAGAGACAACTTGTTTTCATGCACATGTTTTCATTGAGAAATGCTGCACCAAACATCTTAGTTAGTAAATTGCGCGAAAACATCTCCTTGGCAAAAACGTCAAAATTAATAACAGATTTCTTGAGTTATCTTAGATTAACCACAACAGGGGCATAGCACCTCTGTTGGACATCGACTCAGAGAATCACACCGTATGAATTAATTAATACAAAATCGCAAGTTGGCAACCCATCCCTTACGGGATTGTAAAGACAGCATATTAAAGATCGATATACGAGTGATTGTCTGTGTCTGAAATTGGCACCCTTTTCCCTATATAGTGTACCACTTTTGGCCAGAGCCTCAGTAGTGCACTATAAATGGAAAAGGATGCCATTTCAGAAGTAACCAATGTGTGGGTGCTGTTATTCTGTCCTCAAGAGGGAAGCAGTGTCGAGGTGTGCATTACCTGTAGTCGGTTGCTGGTTTCCCAAAGTCTGACCTGGGTCCTCCCCCTTCGGTGCATGTTTTGGTTTTTGCCCTAGCACTACAGGTCTGTTTCAAATAACCAATGCAAAAACCAAAACGTGCACCCAGGGCAGAGTATGTGAGCGGAGCTGCTGGTATGGTGCTAAACGGTTAGGTTGTAGACCGGATGCCATTATTGCTGAGCTCTTTACGTCCCAACCAGCCTATTGTGTCGCACTCACAAATGCTTCACAATGCATTTCTTTGTAGGATATATAGCCTAAATAATTCATTTCCGTTCCTCTTAGGCTCCCTGTCTGGCTCCTGACCTATTTAGAGTGTTTATATGATGTTTAATATGTAGCCTATTTCAACCGAACGCTGCTTGCACCCGCCCACCCGACTAGAATCACTACTCTCGGTGGGTCTGACTTAGAGTATGTGGACAACTACAAATACCTAGGTGTCTGGTTAGACTGTAAACTCTCCTTCCAGACTCACATTAAGCATCTCCAATCAAAAGTTGGATCTAGAATCGGCTTCCTATTTCGCAACAAAGCCTCCTTCACTCATGCTGCCAAACATGCCCTTGTAAAACTGACTATCCTACCGATCCTTGACTTCGGCGATGTCATTTACAAAATAGCCTCCAACACTCTACTCAGCAAATTGGATGTAGTCTATCACAGTGCCATCCGTTTTGTCACCAAAGCCCCATATACTACCCACCATTGTGACCTGTACGCTCTTGTTGGCTGGCCCTCACTACATATTCGTCGCCAAACCCACTGGCTCCAGGTCATCTATAAATCACTGCTAGGCAAATCCCCATCTTATCTTAGCTCACTGGTCACCATAGCAACACCCACCCATAGTCTGCGCTCCAGCAGGTATATCTCACTGGTCATCCCCAAAGCCAACACCTCCTTCGGCTGCCATTCCTTCCAGTTCTCTGCTGCCAATGACTGGAATGAACTGCAAAAGTCTCTGAAGCTGGAGACCCTTATCTCCTTCACTAACTTTAAGCATCAGTTGTCAGAGAAGCTTACCAATCACTACACCTGTACACAGCCCATCTGTAATTAGCCCACCCAACTACCTCATCCCCATATTGTTATTTATTTTTGCTAATTTGCACCCCAGTATCTTTATTTGCACTTCATCTTTTGCACATCTATCATTCCACTGTTAATACGAAATTAACTATTTTGCACTATGGCCTATTTATTGCCTTACCTCCATAATTTACTACATTCGCACACACTGTATATAGATTTTCTGTTGTATTTTTGACTTAAGTTTTGTTTACCCCATATGTAACTCTGTGTTATTTTTATCGCACTGCTTTGCTTTATCTTGGCCAGGTCGCAGTTGTAAATGAGAACTTGTTCTCAACTGGCTTACCTGGTTAAATAAAGGTTAAATAAAAATAAATAAAAATAAATACATTTGAAATGATGAGCACTTCTTACATTCACCTTTTTCATGTTTATTCAAAAACTTTTCATTCAAATCCAAATGGTTTGGTTTTAATACTTCAAAACCAATTGGTAGGTCCAGGTAGTCACAAAAATAGATGGGTGTTGGTTAAATTGTGATTTTAATGAATGGAGCAAATTTGGATCTGGAATTTCTTTCCTGTGAGCTTGGAGCGGTTTTTAGCAGAGCTGTAGGAAAGGACATGGAGCGCCGGAGCAGTTCAACTCCGCTCACATACTCTGACCCAGGAGGAGCCCCAGGACCGACTTTGGGAAACCCTGGTCTGTTGTGTCGTGACTCGTGAGAAATGCAGTGTGCCTGTATGCATGGCAACTGTATCCCAAAAATCCACTGCTTGAAATGACATCAATCAAGACTACATTCAATGAGGGCCAAGTCCTCCTCACTTAAGTTCAATGTGCTTAAAACTGAGATGGATCCGCATCAGGTGAAACCATGCCACTGGTCACCCCAGGCACATTTGTTATTGTTTTTGTATTGTTTATAAGGAGGAGAGGTGTAAAAAAAACAAAAAAAAACAAAGATTATATCACTGGTGCAGTGATGTGCAATGATGTCTGATGGGAAAAAAAGTTTATCCATTGTTTGAAGTGACATCATTGTTGTAATATCGGAAACGGACGTGGCAATTTCACCTCTACGGATTCCAGCTTTAATTCTGACCCTAGCATGAATCATGCATTGATGTCAATTGAAGATTTAGGATGTGTGTCCTAATTGTCCACACTTCTGAAGTATAGACGGGTTGGTTGTTTAGCAACAAAACCGACACGGGCGCAACTATGGGGCAAAATAGACTGGGTTGGCAACCTGTAAACTATTTCCTCTCCAAATGTTGATTTTAAACATAAATACATTTGCACAATGACCACTTGTTGTCTCTCAAATACGTTAGTTGTTGGTTAGCTAGCTAGCGAATTTTAGCCATATTAGCATTGACATGAAATCAGTCAACACCAAAAAACAAGACATGGTATCAAGATGCAACTAGCTGAAACAAGCCACCTACGATTCCCCACTTGGCAGCTTCTTGTCATTGTTGCTAGCTATCTGACCGTCCAGAATCATAACGCACGGCTTCCGGCCCTATCGTTGAGCACACTTTATTTCTGTGACGTTGTCAGACAACCCGTCTGTGCCCTGGCACACTCCCCGTCATGGATTTAAAATCCTGAAACCATGACTGGGTGTTTGCAAGGGCACACTTTGGGAGAAGGGTGTAGAATTGGGACGCAGCCTAAGATTAAAGCCTAAGATGGAAGATATGATGTAACCCTGATTGTGTGGCGCAGACTAGGCGTATGCTGATGGAAAGGATGGGGAAGGAGAGTATGGAGCTGGGTCAGGGCGAGGCCAGCATTACAGGCCTGCAGGAGAACCGACTGATCCACAGCCTCTGTGACCTGCTGGAGAGGACCTGGGGCCACGGGTTACAGCTCAAACAGGTTAGTCACACACAGACGGAGCCTTCAGAATGTTTTCATACCCCTTGACTTATTCCACATTTTGTTGTTACAGCCTGAATTCAAAATTGATTAAATAGAGGGTTTTTTCACACCCATCTATACCCCATAATTTTTAGAAATGTTGAAAATTGATTGAAAATAAATTCACACTCCTTTGCCATGACACTCCAAATTGAGCTTGGGTGCATCCAATTTCCTTTGATCATCCTTGATGTCACTACAACTTGATTGGAGTCCAACTGTGGCCAATTCAATTGTTTGAACATGAAAAACACACCTGTCTATATAAGGTTCCACAGTTGACAGTGCAAGTCAGAGCAGAAACTATACCATGAAGTCCAAGGAACTGTCTGTAGATCTCCGAGATATATGCCTCATTACAATTCTGTCTGGGGAGGGTATAAAACAATTTCTAGAGTTTCCAAGGGCACAATGGTCTCAGTCATTGGGAAATGGGGAAAAAATATGGAACTACCCAGACTCTGCCTAGAGCTGGCTGTCTGACCAAACTGAGCAAATGGGCAAGAAGGACCTTGGTCAGGGAGGTGACCAAGAACCTAATGACCACTCTGAAAGAACTACAGAAAACCAGGCACAGCTCATCATCCGTCTAACACATCCCTACCGTGAAGCATGGTGGTGGCAGCATCATGCTAAGGGGGATGCTTTTCAGCAGCAGCGACTGGGAGACTGGTAAGGATAGAGGGAACAATGAATGGAGCCAAATACAGGCAACTCCTTGATGAGAACCTGCTTCAGTGCAAATGACCTTAGACTGGGGCGAAAATGTACTTTCCAACAGGACAATGACCCCAAGCATACAGCCAAAGCAATGTTGGAATGGCTTCAGAACAAGAATGTGAAATCCTTGAGTGGCCCAGACTTGAATCCCATTGATAATCTGTGGAATGACTTGAAGATTGCTGTTCAGCGCTGCTCCCCATCTAACTTAACTGAGCTTGAGAAAATCTGCAAGGAAGAATGGGAGAAAAATCCCCAAATCCAAATGTGCAAAGCTGATGCAGACATACCCAAGACGACTCAAAGCTGTAATCACCGCCAAAGGTGCTTCTACAAAGACTTCTAATGACTCAGGGGTGAATACTATTTCTGTATTTCCATTTTCAATAAATTTGCTAAAATGTCTAAAGATGTTTTTATTTTGTCATTATGGGGTATTGTGTGTAGATGGGTGAGGGGGAAAAAAAAAAATATATATATAATTTAAGGGCTATGAATTCTTTCTGAGTGCACTGAAGCCCAGGATTCAAACAGACATGCAAATTAGCAATCTGCACGCTGCAATATACTTTTTAAAAGCATTTTTCCCTAAATGTGGTTGAGTGTGTGAGTGGTGTTGATTTTGTGTTTGTACCGTCCAGGGTAGTTCGGCTCTGTGGTCCCACCTGCTCTACTACCAGGCCAACGAGGACAAGATGGAGTCACCTTCACATGCCGAGTCTCCAGGTCAGAGTAGATGCATACTAGCCTGATCCCAGATCTGTTTGTGATGACAATGACCATTTGGCATTAGATATACAGCACAAACAGATGATGGACCAAGCTAGACACTGTAGATATTAGGAACGTTGTACAGTAATATCCATCTGGAAATATTTTATTGGTCTGGTCTGCTAGCATCACCAGTCATTAACCAGATAATACAGTAGTTTGTCTGCTAGGTATGCTCTGTGAAGTGATCACATCTGCCATTCACTCTCTTCCTGGTTACAGTGTCCAATGGGTCGGACAGCAGGAGGCTGGAGGAAGGGCTTCCACCACCGAAGGGCTCCTTTGTACAGGATATGAGGTAATGTGTGGATTCACAAAGCTGTAAAACATGATCTTAAATGTAACCCAAAACTGTTGCTGTTTTTAATGAGGGTTTCACAATTTAAATATTTTAAAGTTTTTATTTATTTTATTATGTAAATGTTTTTGCAGTTGTGAAAAAATCAAGTTATAAGAGTTGCAAATTTCATTGGAAATGATGTCATTGTTGATGAGATGTTTTTTCATGAAGGTTATTTTCTCTTGAAGGACATGGTCTCTACTAGAAATGAATGGACAACATGGACACATACAAATAATCTTTGTTTAAATGTATTTGTCATAGATTTCCAAAATTACCTCTTAATAACCAACATTTCTGGTAACTTTGGTCAATTACAGGGAGTTTTGCAACCCTACTCTATACAGGATATGAGGTCAATGTGTGCCCCGTTCTGAATCAGAAGAAGAGGAGATGGGCGTAGAAGAGGGGGGTGATCGTTGTTATGGCAGCGCTACTAGGCCGTTTCCAAACCAACATGTCCGACGCAGGGGGTGTGGTCGGAGTGGGGAGAATTGGTTGAGGCAGGGGAATCATTTTTCTTGGTTTTCAAGTGGTTGACGCTTTATCAAATTGAAACCACGCCAGCTTTCCTAAAACACAGCGCAACACAAACCAACAAACTGCTCTCTTTGAAAACCAAAGGATGTCTGTGTTTTACCTCCTCAGGTTTGTCCAGACCATGAGTGGGGGTCTCAGTGAAGTGGGTCGGGCCCGGGCCTGGATCCATCTGGCCCTGGAGAAGAAACTGCTCTCACAACACCTCAAACTGCTGCTGGCCAACCATGACCTGATTAGGTACACACACATCACATATACGCTCTTCACACTACTGAGCTGAGCAGAGCCAAGCTGTACTGAGCTGGCTTGGTTGCACATCCACGATAGCCGCTAGAACCGTGCTGGAAAGGACAATGTGAAAAGAAAATATCTGAGCCGGCACAGTTGGGGTTGGCACGGTAACGTGAAAAGGGTAACAGACAGATGAGTCTTCAGATGCATGCTTCATTTCTGTGTGTTAACCTCTCTGTTCTCTCCTTACAGGCAGCTGTATAAGCCTTATGCATTCCTGCTGTGTGAGGAGGAGCGGGAGCAGTTCCTGTTCCACCTGCTGTCACTCAACACTGTGGATTACCTCTGCTTCACACGCACATTCACCTCCATCAGTAAGTCTGGGAGATTCCACAGGGCTGTGTTCATTAGGCACCAAACGGAAGAAGTACCTGGGATTGTCCAATGAGACATTTTTTAGTTTTCTGTTGCAAAATGTTTTTGTTTTTTTGGTGCCTTAATGCAGGGGTTCTCAAACTTTTTGAGGCCGGGGAAGCCTTTTGTGATTAGCAAATTCATCAGGGATATGGCCTGGGTACCAGTCTCTTTCGCTAACATTCCACTCCTTGCCTTTCAGCAATCTTCAAACATGAACATTCTATCATTAATGAGCTTGAGGAGATCGGAGGATTTGATCCTAACTTAATTTATACATTTGATTGGAAACATTCTAACACTGGGCATTCTGACAATAGATTTAATTATAAACATAAACATTGGGTGCGGGGAGAACAGAGGATTCCCATTTATTTCATTTTTAGCACCAGCCAATGTGATCACGTCACAGAACAAAAGTCCTCGCCATTCAAACTTCCCCGCCAGTTCATTGTGAACGCTGTAGCCTATTTTACTGTATATCCAGCAAGCAAGAGCAAGGTACTTCTTTCCTCGTGTGTGTGTGTGTGTAGATAGATAATTATCTATTTTTCTGCTCAAAATAAGTGACCAAACAATATTTCTACTTCTGGGACACATTGGGCTGTAAGAGGAATAGGGTGAGGCCAGTGGAGAGGCCAGTGGAGAGGCCAGTGGAGAGGCATGAATTGAGCAAGAAGGGAACAGTGAAGACAAATGTGTAAGATTGTTGTTCTTAAAATTTGAATTCTATATTCCACCAAATTTGCTCGTACCCTGTGTTCCATAACATTGTCATGGAAACTATTAATGTTGTTTCCAACTACCAATCAGCGACTGCGCCGTAAATCCAGCTGCATAAGGCCAGTCTCTGTGGCAATGACAAGTAGTGGCAAATGGAATGTTCACTAAAGAGACTGGTACTCAGGCTAATCAGGGACCCCGTTATTATCAGACCACAACTTGAGTGTGATTAAAAAATAGCCTACAGGGAGTTTTACTATGACGTCTGCAGTGCATGGTTGGACGAACCAAGTCTCGGGCCCGGGGAAAGAACATTTTAAAATGCTCGCTTCTTGGCATCAGAGAGAATATTGCAGTTTTCAAGCAAATTTCCTGCAATTCCACATATTTTGTCATGGGGCAGAGATGTTTTGTTGTTGCAGCTTTAAAGCTAATATCCTGCAATTCTACATATTTTGCCAAGAGGCAGAGAACTTTGCTGTTTTAAAGCTTACATTTCTGTGCATTTATATATAAAAAAATATAAAAAATGGGATTGAGTTGATAAAATGGATACCAATATACCTGTGAGCCTCCCATGCCCATGTTGCCCAGGGTTAAGAACATATAAATTGTAGATTACTATCATTGTATTGTATTACACACTTTAAACTTATTCCACGGCTCCCTTGGCAAAAAGTAGTTTAATCTGTTAGTAGTATTCATTACAAAAATGAAATGTATTTTTTAAATATATATATATAGATATATATTGCTCAAAAAAATAAAGGAACATTTAAACAACACAATGTAACTCCAAGTCAATCACACTTCTGTGAAATCAAACTGTCCACTTAGGAAGCAACACTGATTGACAATAAATTTCACATGCTGTTGTGCAAATGCAATAGACAACAGGTGGAAATTATAGGCAATTAGCAAGACACCCCCCAATAAAGGACTGGTTTTGCAGGTGGTGACCACAGACCACTTCTCAGTTCCTATGCTTCCTGGCTGATGTTTTGGTCACTTTTGAATGCTGGCGGTGCTTTCACTCTAGTGGTAGCATGAGACGGAGTCTACAACCCACACAAGTGGCTCAGGTAGTGCAGCTCATCCAGGATGGCACATCAATGCGAGCTGTGGCAAGAAGGTTTGCTGTGTCTGTCAGCGTAGTGTCCAGAGCATGGAGGCGCTACCCGGAGACAGGCCAGTACATCAGGAGACGTGGAGGAGGCCGTAGGAGGGCAACAACCCAGCAGCAGGACCGCTACCTCTGCCTTTGTGCAAGGAGGAGCAGGAGGAGCACTGCCAGAGCACTGCAAAATGACCTCCAGCAGGCCACAAATGTGCATGTGTCTGCTCAAACGGTCAGAAACAGACTCCATGAGGGTGGTATGAGGGCCCGACGTCCACAGGTGGGGGTTGTGCTTACAGCCCAACATCGTGCAGGACGTTTGGCATTTGCCAGAGAACACCAAGATTGGCAAAAATCGCCACTGGCGCCCTGTGCTCTTCACAGATGAAAGCAGGTTCACACTGAGCACATGTGACAGAGTCTGGAGACGCCGTGGAGAACGTTCTGCTGCCTGCAACATCCTCCAGCATGACCGGTTTGGCGGTGGGTCAGTCATGGTGTGGGGTGGCATTTCTTTGGGGGGCCGCACAGCCCTCCATGTGCTCGCCAGAGGTAGCCTGACTGCCATTAGGTACCGAGATGAGATCCTCAGACCCCTTGTGAGACCATATGCTGATGCGGTTGGCCCTGGGTTCCTCCTAATGCAAGACAATGCTAGACCTCATGTGGCTGGAGTGTGTCAGCAGTTCCTGCAAGAGGAAGGCATTGATGCTATGGACTGGCCCGCCCGTTCCCCAGACCTGAATCCAATTGAGCACATCTGGGACATCATGTCTCGCTCCATCCACCAACGCCACGTTGCACCACAGACTGTCCAGGAGTTGTCGGATGCTTTAGTCCAGGTTTAGGTGGAGATCCCTCAGGAGACCATCCGCCACCTCATCAGGAGCATGCCCAGGCGTTGTAGGGAGGTCATACAGGCACGTGGAGGCCACACACACTACTGAGCCTCATTTTGACTTGTTTTAAGGACATTACATCAAAGTTGGATCAGCCTGTAGTGTGGTTTTCCACTTTTAATTTTGAGGGTGACTCCAAATCCAGACCTCCATGGGTTGATACATTTGATTTCCATTGATATTTTTTGTGTGATTTTGTTGTCAGCACATTCAACTATATAAAGAAAAAAGTATTTAATACGATTATTTCATTCATTCAGATCTAGGATGTGTTATTTTAGTGTTCCCTTAATTTTTTTGAGCAGTGTATATATTGAGATCTGGCTGCGCACCCCCTGTAGTACCTCCCGCAGACCCCACTTTGAGAACCCCTGCCCTAATGAACACATCCCAGCTTCCAAGATACTGAAACCAGGGGGGGGGGGTTCTCATTGGGTTCCTAATTCCTATTTGGTTGTATGAGAGAATGTTCTAACGTTATTGAAGCGTTTTGGTTATTAGTATGATAATGTTTCTGCAATATCTTCATATCAAGTCCGCATCCGCCCTGCAGTTCTGAAAACGTTCTTGGACTGTTCCTGGAAGGTTTTTAAGAAGGAATGGTCTTAAGAACGTTGTCATCTTGGATAGAGGAACATTACCATTAACGTACCAGAAATGTTCTGGGATCTAAACATTCTTAGCTGGTTTAAACTAAAGCCACCTTTTACAGTCCGTAAACATCTAACATTGCACTGAAATGTGTTCACTGCGTGTAAGTCGACTCTGGATAAGAGCATCTGCTAAATGTAAATGTTCTCGTCTCTTCAGGTATTCCGTACCGTGTTGTCATAACGCCCATGAAAAAGCTGAGCATTGCCATGACAATGTCCAATCCCTGGGTGTGTGTTTCTGGAGAGCTGGGCGACTCAGGGATCAGGCAGATCCCCAAGAACACACAGGAGATCTTCTTCCAGGTGAGGTGCTCCGTCCCATTGTTTCCCTGGGCTGGGTGGAGCGGATGGAAGCTACTGCTTAGGAATTCTCCATCAAACATACATGCGCGCACGTGCTCACACACACTGTTCTTATTCTAGTTTCTCTCTCTCTCTGTCTCTGTCTCTCTGTCTCTCTCTCTGTGTGTGTGTGTGTGTTAGTGTCAGAACCTGGGCAGACTGAGCACCCTGCAGTTGGGCCAGGAGAACTCTGGCCTGCTGGCTAAGTGTCTGGTGGACTGTGTGATTGTGCACAATGAGATCACTGGACACACCTACAGGTAACACACACATACTGTATGGACACACCATTTCTTCTGTTAAACCTGCATTATACTGCACACATTTTTTTGACCAAGTTAGTTAGTGTTGCTCTAATTTCTGTACTCTCACAAGTTGTGTTCATTAGGGCACACAACGGAAAACCATTTAAAATGTTCTGCAACAGGAAAGAAACATTTGTGTTTAGGATTAGACAAGTCCAGGTTGTCCTTCTGTTTGTTTAGTCCCTAATGAACGTGACCCTGCTTCAAAATTCTGAATTGACAAATTTCAAATTGACTGCTCCTTTGCCCTGTTTCACATATAACCTCTGACCCCCTTATCTCTCTACCTGCACTCTCTTCCCAGGTTCCCGTGCGGCCGCTGGCTGGGGAAGGGTGTGGGCGACGGAAGCCTGGAGAGGGTGCTGATTGGCCAGCTGGTGTCGCCCGGAGGAGAGGAGGATTCTGGGAGGTGGACGGGGACGCCCCCGGAGCAGGGCTCGCCCCCTCAGAGCGGACGCACGGGGGGTCTGGGGTCTCTGGGCCGCAGCAACAGTACGTATGGACGCGCACACACACACACTGAGGGCTCAGATTTACTGAACATTTTCTGTAATTCATCACTATACTTTACTATTAATGCTCTATCTTTTCTCCCCTTCAATATCGTCTTTCATGCCATTGTCAATCTTCACGTCTCAATTCCTCTCTCCCATGCTCCCTCTACCTCCATTCTCTCTCTCCTTCCTACCATATCTCTCCTCCTCCATTCAGAGCTCTGCTCTGTCCAGGTGCAGGAGGATATGAGGGAGGCGGTGAACAACCTCGTCAAGCACTTCCACAAAGCAGAGCAGGAGGTAGGCTGTGTGTGTGAGAGATTCCAGATAGAGGGAGCAGAGGAGACTTTCTGCTGCTGTTTGTGTGTGTGTCTGGATCAATGCTTCTCCGTGTGTCTAGAGGTTATCATCAGCACGATTCACGACCTTCACTCTGCAAGGCAGAATCTCCCAGTTTAAAGGCAGGCTTGCTTTTTTCTCTAGTCTATGGCCTGCTCTGACCTCCCCTTTAAAAGCCTGCTCTGACCTCTCCTTTTAAAAGCCTGCTCTGACCTCTCCTTTTAAAAGCCTACTCTGACCTTCCCTTTAAAAGCCTGCTCTGACCTCTCCTTTTAAAAGCCTACTCTGACATGTTTAAAATCCCTAGTCTGAACTCCCCTTAAAAACCCCAGCCCTGTGGAGACAGTAGCTCACTGTAATTACATTTTTATCGGTTACCACTTAACCCCTCCCCCCAGGACAATGCATCGACCAATCAGCTTTAATACATTGACCTTTCCTTGACGTAGTAGAGGCGGAGGAGCCATGCAGATTCGCCCCTCAGTGAATTGTAAATGAAATAAAATGGGGGGGGGGGTGTGCCTTTAAAAAGCATGAAATTATATTATTATTTATAAGAGCTTCCAAGAAACCACTCGCTGCTTTGGGGAATTCTGTCACAGCAAGTGCTTTGGATTTGGTTTTTCATTTCATCACAGGCTGTTGGAACCTGGAGGGAAAGTGGAATCGTGGTGCTTTGAGAGCCTTCTCTGGAACTGAAGTGTACTAGATAATATCGCCCTGGGCTTAAATTTGTCACCTTGGCAACCATAATTCAACTCCTCCACACTCCAGTCCAACAATTGTACAACACTGTAGGCAAGACAATAGTGCTTAATTTGTAAGGACGACTGAATGAATGCGGCTGGAAGGTTTCTGAAGAAACTTCAGAGGGATTCCATCCGCAGTCTGAGTGTTCTGCTGTGTCCAGCTTAAAAGGGATGTAGCATCTTTAAAGGGGGGCTGAACTTACTGATTTAGCCTTGCTTTCAGTCATCCTCATTAGGAAATGCAACTGAGAATGAGATTTGGGTCTTGGAGGCGTGCTTTGGGTGTGGGTGGGTAGGGGTGTTCACACGTGGGAAGTGTTTGTATATTCACTCAGCCAAAACAGGAGACAGTTAGTCACTCACCCTTCTAGATAACTTGAAACAGTCTAACCAGGTCTTGTGTCTGGAAGCTAGCCAACTTCTTTAGCCGATTGGCTTCAGCTGGTGGGTGTGTGACCATGGCAAAGTTGGTTTGACTTTGGATAGCCTATATGTGGGACTGTCAATATATTACATAATAAAAATGGGACAATTTTCAGTATTCTCATTTAAATGCATTCAATATTTGTGTATGAATTTCTACAATTTATATAGTTGGTTTGAAGTTCTTATATCATTGAAATTTGGATATATTGAAATTAAAATATTTTCCCATGTATATTGTGTAATTAACTGATGGCCCCTAACTAGCCCCATATGGATATCCAAAGTCAAACGAAATTGACCATGGTCAGTGTCCTGGGAATTACGATCGGGTCTTGTGCAGCTGTGCTCTGAATTGACGATCACTTGGGTTGAAATAAACCCAACCCAAGGAAAACTTCCTAATAATCTCCGTTTTGGACGAGACTGATTTTATGACCAATATTATCCAATTTACAATTTGTAGTCAATTTTGACACTAGAATAAATGTTTCTGACTCGTATCGATGCCACAGGCCGTTTTCAGTTTATTTTTTTATTCAATCTCTTTAAACTCTACCATTGTAACTGTATGGCCATTAAAACCATATCTAAATGTGTGGCCAGTTAGGTTAAATACTGCCACCAGGTAGCTAACCAGAACCATATTCTACAAGTTAGCGACTCTCATAAGATTGAACCTCTCCCCTCTCCTCTCCTTTCAGAGGGGGAACCTGACTGCTCTGCTCTGTGGAGAGGGGGGGCTGGTGCGCTCCCTGGAACAGTTCCTCCTCCACGGCTTCAAGTCCTCGCGCCTATTTCAGAGGAGTGTGTTCATATGGGACTTTGTGGGTAAGTGTGTGTGTGGGGGGGGGGACAGAATATGTGGAGTGTAGTAATGTAAATTGTCTCCATCTAGTGGCTCATTTTAAAAAGTTAAATTTTGCATTATTCAATGTAAGTGCAGCACAGCATGATTCACCTAGTAGCCCCAGTAAACGGCATCATCTTGTCATAGAAAGAGAATTGCGAGTGTTTTAGTCATTGTATTTCTATGGTCCCTGTCCTTCTGTGTTACCTGCCCCCCCCCCCCCCCCCCCCGCACTGCACACACAGAGAAAGGGGTGGTTTCCATGGAGACTGCGGATCAGATGGGTGACTTGCGGGGGTCAACAGAGCTATGTGACTCACTGTGTCACTATGCCAACGGCATCAACGCCTCGTCACGGAACATCGGAAAGGAGGGCAAGTTCCAGCTGCTGGTCTGCCTGGGAGTTAGGTGAGAGGTCAAAGTTGAAGGTTCAAACGGCAATGGAAAGGGAGATGGTCTAACGTCACAGAACAGATTTTGTAGAACAGATTAATTCCATCTTTATTCATCCTATTTCTATCTTTGCGTACAGAACGTTGCATCATTCTGAATAGACCCCAGTTGTGTCGACTGTGCAAGTCTGACTTGACAGATGCATTCAAACAGGGCCCTCTAATGAAAATGTGAACGTCACCACTCTGGTGGTTAATTTTATCAGTCAAGTGACACACTTTCCCTTTCCCTGAAGCCCCTGAGCACTCCGCAGCCGGAGTGGCCTGCAGCAGGACTGGTCTCCAAGGCCTCAGTCACAGACCTGATCCATTTACATCACACACAGTTATTTCAGCTAGGAATTTGGGCTGCTGCAGGCCTACAGCGTAGGGGTGGTCCGAACCGTGGTGGTCGGTGCCGTTTTTAAGATGAGGGAGGACGTTTTTAATGAGCATGGCGTTATTTCTATTACAGCATATTGGATGACTGTCATTCATATTTCATTCAACCAGTTCAATGTAACATTGATAGGTTTAGGCTACTACATGATACTAGAATTTTCCCTATACCCATCATGAGGTTTCTACAACCAAGCCTATAAATGAAAGGTGCACACAGGTCGAGAGAAATTTGAGGTGACAGTGACACATGGACAGACGGTGACATTCAATACCGCCTTACACACTCTTGCCTGCATCAAGCTGATCTAGGGTGTAATCATTAGTCCAACAGTTGCAAACAAGAGTTTCAATTGGACAAATTCAGGTATGTTTATCCCGGTTCCGTTTGCTTCCCTTTAAGAAACATTTTTCAACAGAATCGGCAGAATGAATACACACCTGATCATATGTAAACACAGTTCACTTTCATAGCAGCCACGTTGTATTCCTTCTCGCATCTATGCGCTCTCCTCCTCTCACATTTCCCCTTCGCTTGTGGACTTCAATGCACAACACATCAGCTGTATGTGACCAGGCGAAGAAAAAAAAAACTTTCCAAGCCATATCATAACCTCTACACACAGCCTACATTGTTGTCACCATATTAGCTAAAGTAACATCATAGTCAACACAGCTAATAGAACTAACGTGTTAGTAAACCCGCTACAATCATACAGTGTACAGTCAGTAAACAGTTTAGCAGTTACTCCGGTGGGCCCCGGTGGCAAGAAATTAATAAAACCAAAAGCTTACCTTGACTTGGAAGAGTTCCAGTGTTAGCTAGCTGGAACAACATAACATCCCTCTGTTTGAGCTGGGTGTTTGAGTAGGCTAAACTAGCAAGCTGCATTTGCTAAGTAAGTGAAAGTGAAAGATTGACTAAATATCACGTCAATGTACCCAGAGGAGGATGAAAAATAGCTGTCCTCCGATTACACCATGGTGCTACCCTACAGAGTGCTGTTGAGGCTAATGTAGACCTTCATAGCAAAAGTGTATTTTTATCAATTATTTGGTGATGTGAATATATTTAGTATAGTTTTATCTAAAAAGGATAACCTTTTTAAATGTTTCACTATTTTTTTGGTCCTCCCCTTCCTCATCTGAGGAGCCTCCACTGGAATGTAGGATACATAGTTGGCTGAATAACTGGGTAATGTCTTGTTCAAGCTGGTACCTACCTGGTAGTTAACTAAGAAACTATGTGGAAACAAGATGCCTTCTGGTACATACCTGTATTTAACTAAGAAACTATGTGGAAACAAGATGCCTTCTGGTCCCTACCTCAAAGAATTCACCACAATTGGTAAACAACCTTTTACCAAATGGTACATAGTGACGTTTGTGTCAATGAATTTCAAAGAAACTGAAATGTAATAACTATGCAGTTATTAGGCAATTGTTGTTTTAATAAGTAATAATTTCTAAGTAACGGGCAGTGGGCTGTAAAATATAACGTAACTAATAAGTTTTACATACAATGACAATTAATCTGGTTTGTTAATTGGTGTATGGTCTAAATTGATACGATTTCCCCATTACATTTCATGCATTTTGAGGTCTTCTGAAAGGCATAATATAAATGCAATTAATTAATGATGAAAATAAACAAAAAACAAGACTGTTGATTGAAGTAAGTGGTCTGAGGTGCTTTGGTAGACCTTGGAGCTTGCTTTTGAAAACGGGGCTTTATTATGATATAGTCCTCTTCTATATATTGTATTTACATTTTCCTGAGACGGACTACCTACCTAGCTAGCTAGTAACTGACCACTACTGGAAGAATCATCAAATTAAACCCACAACGAATGTGCTCACTCAATTGCTTTTGTTGAATTTTAAATAAAATGCTAACTTGCATCTATGAGAACCTAGTCAACAGCTCCAGGTACAAGTTGGTTTCCTATCCCCAATTCCAAACCGTAACCATTATGGCATAAATGCAACTCAGATTTGTTCTACACAATGCATTTCTGCTTGAGTGTTATGTAGTGTTGCTCCCTCCTGAACAGACCTGTGGCGATAATGATTTGACCTTTGACCCTGTGTGTTGGCAGGGACCGGCTGCTGCCCCAGTGGCTCCCCCTGTTGGCCGAGTGCCACCTGACGGCTGGTCAATACGAGAAGTCCGCGCTGGTCCGGGATCGTGCCGCCGTCCACTCACTCTCCCGCGTCCTCCACACCCTCCACGAGTTTCCCATCGCCCTGGAGCCCGCCCTGGTCAAGGGGGTGGATCTCTAACCCCATGGTGTTTTAACCCCTATCCACAGACTGCACAACGCACCAAGGGTGGCTGGGCCTCAATAGTGTCGAGTGACTGCCTCTCCATGTGTCCTCTCCTTCGTTTCCGCACTGATCTGAGAACTTGGCAGGTGTAAGTAAGAAGTATGACACATGCCCTTCATTGGGATCATCACTTCTTCAATCCAGTCAGATCTAGTGCAGGTGAGGGAGAGGACCCGAGGACAAGAAGTCACTTTAGACTATTGAGACGCAGCCAGCAGGGCCTGCCTGGTCAGAACTGGACAGCTGAACTCTCATGAGGAGAGAGGAAGTGACAATGGTAGACTTTGTGGGGTGGGAGTCTGGGAGGGGATGGAACCCCAAGGTTCTGCAGGGCTATATTGCCACACCACAGCAGGCCTACTGCCTCATTCACTGATGCAAATGTCATATCCATTGAAGTTACAATGTCATACATACAGGGGCGCAACTTTCACTGAAATTGCATTTTTGTCCCCCCCAGTTTTATCATTGGAATGTGATACAAAACGAGCCATCTATGTGCTTTAGGGCCATGCGGATGCCTCCTAGCGGTCAGGTAGGCTAGATAAAAATAAATATAAAAAGATCCCCCCCACTTCTAAAACCAAAGTTGCTTCCCTGCATACATACATACATACATACATACAGAAGAAAACAGTATTTTATTTATTTTCCTCTTGTTTACACTGTGATCTGTCTCTTGGAGTGAGGCGGAGTGATTACCTTTTAACCAACCAGCTTTGACGTCTCAGCTCACACTGTGAAGGGGCAAGGGAGAAAAGAGTTGTGATGAACTTTGACTCCACCTACCTGTCCTGCTCTTACTTAACCCAAGTCTTATTGCTGTTATGCTTGCCCTTGGAATATAAACCTGACATGCATGGCCATATCGGGGTGTATTCACAACTGAATGCTCGTTATCGTTGCAAAATGTTTCCCATTGCAAAACATTTTGCTATGGGTCGCAATGGTGTGCACTAATGAATACACCCCATGTTTTTCCTTTCTCTCAGTGATGTAGTCTCTAGCTACAGTTATTCTGCTGCCCGATCGTCTGTATTATTATGGTATGGACATTGTGAATGGATTAATTTCTAATCTAAAAAATGATTGAGATTAAGGATAGTTACTCTGCTCAAATGCTGGTGTAGATGTTTGTTCTCCAAAACTTGGTAACACTTGATAATAACTTTCCTGAATAAACCATCATAAATGCTTTATAAACTATAAATGTTATAAAATGTAATGCTTACAAAAAATACTTCATTCATAGTTTATTAATTCCTTCATGAAAGTTGATGTAAAGTGTTACCAAAAACGAATGTGTTGCCCTCTTGAAATTGTCTGTGCAACAGTTGCCTGGTCCTGTACATCGGAAGTTTTATTTAACCTACTGAAGCCCTAGCAGCACTAATCTTCTCAATGTTCCCTGACTTAGGCCTGTCTGTGTATTGTTCTATTGACTTTTTGCCTCCTACTACAGGGTCATTCTGGTTTTGCTGACAAAAATATTGAAAATATTGGTTTGAAATATTGAAAATATTGGTTTGAAATATTGAAAATGGTCTTGTCAATTTTAAATTTGTTTACAAGTTTTTTTTTTTTTTTTTTTACTGTGACTTTATTTGAACATTGCTTTGTAAGAAGTTGTCCAGTCATACAATGTTACCATAGCCTTTTCATTTGATAGAGAGAAACCCCAACTGTCAACATTCTATTAACAGAAAATGGCATTTTGTTTTCTAAATGTCATGTTGCTTATTTAATTGTAATTGCTAGGTCAAAACATTGAAGAGGTTCTTCTTCAAAAACAAGCTTGATATTATATTTATATTTCATTTTGCTTTTTGGTTAAGGTCCAAAGATGGTGGAAAATGTCATCTCCTGCACTGTCCTGCAAGCACAATCCTTTTTGTCAAACCCACAATGATGAAGTCTCTAGCTTATTATTATTATTATTATTATTTGAAAATTGATATTAGGGTAAGTAATCTGTTATTTTCAACATTAATGAATTGTGTCGTTAAAGATTAAAGTCTGCTAAGATATAAAACTGACTTTTCGTTTTGTTGGGTGATTCTCACAACTGTAGGGCCTATGATAGGCTACGCATTTGATGCAAAGGTGGTGTCCGCGCGCAATGGTTGGTTATATAATTTGTTTAATAATCATGTTTGTTTGGGCATACATTAGGCCTAGTTAGCCTTTACCATCACAAAATGGCTTTAACTTTTACGATGATAATTACACAAGCCATCTGGCGTTCCATAGTAAAACGATTTGCTCCGCCTCTTTGCTTACGTTCTCCAACGTGCCATAGCAACGAGAGACGAGCCCCCTCTTCCCGCGCAATGTTCCCATCCTTATAAGGCCAGCAGAGCGCAGACGCACTGATACGTCAGCCATTTATGCAAACTAGGTTGATTGAAGAAAATCAGAAAATGGAGGCGTGGATGGCGCGCACGCGCAGTGAGTCCACAACTACCCAGTCCCAGACACAGCGAGCGAGACGTCAACAACAGAGAGCTGGTTACTGATGCTGGTGAATTGTGAGAGTAATCACATTGTAACGACTCGTGTTCAAGGTTATTACTTTGTATTAACTACGTTCGATTTGCATCAAGGTAAGAATTGTGTTGGCTATTGTTCAATAAGATACTCAAAATGTGCAAGCTTTTGGTGTCTGTTTGCTTGACTATTGTAGGCTATGATTCAAAACAAGTAAGCTCGAGTTGTTGTCCACTTGAGAAGGCGAGCAATTAACATCGATGTCACAGGTAGAATTAAGCATTAATAAGCCTAGCATAGGCCTACTATTTTACCACTTTTTTTTATAGGCTAGTTTGAATTGGAATAATAATTGGATAAACAATTGCAGCAATATGTTTCATGACTTCTGCATGTGAACGTAAACTAAAGAAACCCAGTCTGCAACATACTAAAAAATGGATGACGTGAACAGCAGATTTGGCCCTAAACGCATTTTATCCCCTTGATTTCTAGCTCTATGCCTTGTCCATTATTGTATAGTGTCTTGATTAATTCGTTTTAGTTGTGATTCTGAATAGGTGGATTCATAGCTTCTAAGTCCATTAAGTTTGCAATGTTGAAATGTGCATGTTCCGCATGTGATTCATGACTGCATACTGATGTAAATAATGTCCAAGTTCGAGCTCCCATCACGCCCACCCGAGCTGAGTTTACACGCGATTACTCCGTGTGTCAACACATTCATGGATGCATCTATCACGACAAAACAAGTAGTAACCTAACCAAATAATAGCGAATATTAAACTGAAATGATAGCAAGATCAAACCACAATTTGAAAGCAATGAAGTACGTTGTCACTGTTAAAAACCGAAGCTTTGAACTTGGTATGTGTTTGAAGGTGCACTGGCCAGTGACGCGGCATCGCTTGAATAACAAAGAGTAAAGATCACATTACAAGACTGTTCCAAAGCATGATTGTATATTTTTAGAGAGGAATATGTCCGTTTTCTGAAAAAAGTTTGATAATGCGGTTGTGTCATCGACAGTCGAGTTTATGGACTTGTAGACGACCGACGGCGGGTTGAAAGGTTCCGTTTAAAATGGGTGCGTATGAGGCTGCTCGTGTGCCATGCTTCCTGGCGAAAGTGGGCGGTGAACGAATCGAGTTACAGTAGTCTTTCCTCGGTGGAAAGGATCTCTTTTTCATCATGACCGACTACTTTCATTTTTAAACATAGGCGGTTTTAATGACTAACGATGTTAAGTCTGTTTTACAACTTTAAAATTAGAAATATTTCGGACATGATAGCGCATCACACACAAGCTCCATTCCTGCCATCACACACACCCTGTCCTCACTCCCTCCTCCCCTCCCTCACTCCCCGCCTTTGAAGTGTGTTGCCATGTAGAGTTACGGCACATAGGCCTACTGTATTATCCTGCTACTGTCTGTGGTTGTACCACTGCATTGTCATGAGACCCGAAGGACTGCCGCTTAAATGGCAAAACAAGTAGCATGCGGGCGCGGCTCACGGTTTTGCCGCATGATTATTTTGAAGGCCTCCACTGTGCTTAGTGATAGGGTTTGCATGGCAACATAAGAGAGAATTCCACTTTAAATGTCGATTAGAAGTAAACCATACCCCCACATATATATATATATATATATATATATATATATATATATATATATATATATATATATATATATATATTTTTTTTTACAATTTCTTGCACCACGAGGTATTCACACAAGCAGCAGTTCTCATCAATTTAGCCTCTTTCATTCACCTGACAGGCGCGTCTGTCCTTTAGCATCAAAACCAGAGTTTACAGGTTTGTCATACCTTATGATATGTTTTATTTTGCCATATCGGTGCGGAAGTTATGCAAATCTCCGAGGGCGATAAGAGCGCGGCAGCAGGGGGACATTATCTGTCTGACGTGCAGACAGCTGACCTATATTCACTCCATTTGGGTCAAGGCATGGCACTCACTTTCATCTGCCGCGCGTTATTGCGCGAGCCGTCTGAAAAATATTACATGTCAGAGCTATATCAACCATCTATATATATATATATATATGGAAACACATTGAAATGGTAGCCTGTTGTTCCGCTGGTTGGTACACAGGCTGAATATTTTGCATAACGTTTGAATAATCCCTTAATAGGGAATAGATATGCCCAAAATGTAACATATGCCTGTAGGCTAACCATCGCCTGTTATAGGCCATTCCTTTTCATTACGATTCTTGCCATTTTTAATTTTAATAAACAGCAAATTACCATTGCTGTTTTGTGTTTTTGAAAACAGATGTTTGGCTTTCACAAGCCGAAGATGTACCGGAGTTTAGACGGCTGTTGCATCTGCCGCGCCAAGTCCTCCAGCTCGCGCTTCACGGACAGCAAGCGGTACGAGAAGGACTTCATGAGCTGTTTCGGGTAAGCAAGAATTTCTGACAATTACCGCGCCTTTTAAAGTGGATTTCCACGTTGTAACAATGTAATTACTATAGTCTGCTGCAAACGCAGCAGAGTCAATGAAATTCCACACATTAAGTTATGTTTCCATTGCGGTGTGGTGCGTAAATTACGCATGGCGCCTATGCAGCAAACAGGTGTAGTATAGCGACATTGCTGCCTCCCAAGCACACACTCACAATTACAAAACATTGTATTGTCCCTATGAGTCGACAGCTACATGTGAATTCATCTAAAATGGTTTGAATATAAAAAATAAAAGATGTCCTGGTAACCAAAATGTAATGACATTAGGAATTATAATATTAACATTGTTCACATTGTCCTGCTTAACCCATATTTCACATGTTTTCCCCTCATGTACAGTGAGGGAAAAAAGTATTTGATCCCCTGCTGATTTGGTACATTTGCCCACTGACAAAGAAATTATCAGTCTATAATTTTAATGGTAGAAATAAATTATCAGTCTATAATTTTAATGGTAGGTTTATTTGAACAGTGAGAGACAGAATAACAACAAAAAAATCCAGAAAAACGCATGTCCTTTAAGAGTGTGCTCCTAATCTCAGCTCGTTACCTGTATAAAAGACACCTGGGAGCCAGAAATCCTTCTGATTGAGAGAGGGTCAAATACTTATTTCCCTCATTAAAATGCAAATCAATTTATAACATTTTTGACATGGGTTTTTCTGGATTTTTTTGTTGTTATTCTGTCTCTCACTGTTCAAATAAACCTACCATTAAAATTATAGACTGATCATTTCTTTGTCAGTGGGCAAATGTACAAAATCAGCAGGGGATCAAATACGTGTTTCCCTCACTGTAGATTGTGTGAAACTCGGTCTGGAGAAATCTGCAATGCCTGTGTACTCCTGGTGAAACGATGGAAGAAACTCCCAGTGGGGTCTAAGAAAAGCTGGAATCATGTAAGCTCCACATTTTGTCTTGATCTCCTCTTCACCACTTACCTGTCTGTTGAAAATGGTTACGAATAACACCAAAAAGAGGAGAGGAGCTCCTATCAATCTCTCTTCTCCTTTTCTTTCCTATCCCCCTCTTCTGTTCTCTACTCTTCTTCTCTCCCCTCCTCTCCCCTCCTAGGTGGTTGATGCCCGAGGAGGCCCCAGCCTAAAGATGTCTTCCAGGCCAAAGAAGCTGAAGTCCCTCTCCAAGAGAGCCAGGCCAAGCCAGATCAGCCGACTGCAGAAAGAGCTGAAGAGAAACAGTAAGTCCTGTTCACAATGCTCCATAAACATAATGGGCTTTGACCACTTCAATAATAGATCAATGCAACCATAAGGACCCAATCTCAGTGCTTTTCAGGCACTGAGGCAGACAAAAAATAAATAATTTCACGAGTATCCTTGTATTGTAGCCTAACCGCAGGTAGCCTAGTGCTTAGAGCATTGGGCCAGTAAAAGGTTGCTAGTTCGAATCCCCGAGCTGAAAAGGCATTTAACCCTAATTGCTCCAGGGTTGCCATTGATAATGGCAGACCCTGGCCGTGACCCCACTCTCAGAGGGAGTTGGGATATGCAAAAAAAAACATTTTCAATTCACACATGCGTATAATACACGCTTGTACATGAAATAGGACAAATATAAGCACCCACCTAATTATTATTAATATACAATTATATATGTAAATATTCTGGCGGTTGAGATGTTTCAAACTTTGCGCAACATTCCCACTCTGAACATACCCCTGCTGCATTCTACCAAATAATATACACTACAGTATAGCTTACTTCATCTACGGATCTACCGCCCTTCCAGACTCTGATGCCCACAGCACCACGTCCAGTGCCTCCCCGGCCCAGTCTCCCAGCTACAGCAACCCCTCAGACGAGGGCTCCGACACAGAGCTCTCCCCTGGCTCCAGCCGCTCCCCTGTCTTCTCCTTCCTGGACCTCACCTACTGGAAGAGGTAAGGCTGGAGGACCTTACAGAAATAGAAACTGAAATAGAAACGCAACATGTAAAGTGTTGGTCCCATGTTTCATGAGCTGAAATAACAGATCCCAGAAATTTTCCATACGCACAAAAAGCTTATTTCTCTCAAATTTTGTGGAGAAATTTGTTTACATTTACATTACATCATTTACATTTTAGTCATTTAGCAGATGCTCTTATCCAGAGCGACTTACAGTTAGTGAGTGCATACATTATTTTATTTTTATTTTTTCATACTGGGAATCGAACCCACAACCCTGGCGTTGCAAACGCCATGCTCTACCAACTGAGCTACATCCCTGCCGGCCATTCCCTCCCATACCCTGGACGACGCTGGGCCAATTGTGTGCCGCCCCATGGGTCACAGGGTTTACATCCCTGTTAGTGAGCATTTCTCCGTTGTCAAGATAATCCATCCACCTGACAGGTGTAGCATTATCAAGAAGCTGATTAAACAGCATGATCATTACATCTTGTGCTGAGGACAATAAAAGGCAGTTTTGTCACACAACACAATGCCACAGATGTCTGAAGTTTTGAGGGGAGCGTGCAATTGGCATGCTGACTGCAGGAATGTCCACCAAAGCTGTTGCCAGATAATTGAATGTTAATTTCTCAACCATAAACCGCCTCCAATGTCATTTTAGAGAATTTGCCGGTACGTCCAATCGGCCTCACAACCACAAACCACGTGCATGGCGTCGTGTGGGTGAGCAGTTTGCTGATGTCAACGTTGTGAACAGAGTGCCCCATGGTGGCAGTGGGGTTATGGTATGGGCAGGCATAAGCTACGGACAACGAACATAATTGCATTTTATCGATGGCAATTTGAATGCACAGAGATACCGTGATACCCTGAGGCCCATTGTCGTGCCATTCATCCGCCGCCATCACCTCATGTTTCAGCATGATAATGCATGGCCCCATGTCGCAAGGATCTGTACACGATTCCTGGAAGTGTCCCAGTTCTTCCATGGCCTGCATATTCACCAGACATGTCACTCATTGAGCATGTATGGAATGCTCTGGATCGATGTGTAATACAGCATGTTCCAGTTCCCGCCAATATCCAGCATCTTCCCACAGCCATTGAAGAGGAATGGGACAAAATTCCACAGGTCACAATCAACAGCCTGATCGATTCTATGCGAAGGAGATGTGTCGCGCTGCATGAGGCAAATGGTGGTCACACCAGATACTGACTGGTTTTCTGATCCACGCCTCTACCTTTCTTTTAAGGTATCTGTGACCAACAGATGCATATCTGTATTCCCAGTCATGTGAAATCCATAGATTAGGGCCTAATGAATTTATTTCAATTGACTGATTTCCTTATATGAATTGTAACTCAGTAAAATCTTTGAAATTGTTGCATGTTGTGTTTATATTTTTGTTCAGTACACATGCCCTGTTAGACAGTATGGGCCAGTTTCCCAGGACACAGTTTATCCTGGATTGAAAATGTCCATTGAAAGTGCAATAGACTCCTTTCCAGTACACGACACACTGATGTCATGCACAGATGCGCGTGACTCTTGGCAGAAGTAAGAAAGCCATCTCCATCTGCGCCCATTCAACAGCCTAGATTTACTTTTTCATTACTTCTGAACAAAATAACTTTGTGGGGTTCTCATACATTTACAATGATGTTTTGATTCTTGCTTGAACAGTCGCTAAGATTATATTTGGTTGTGATCTTTGCAAAATAGCTATTTTGGATGCAGCAGTTGTTAGCTAGAATGCTAACGCTTATTGACATAGGCTGTTGCAAAAGCTAGCCAAATAGCCATTTTACTGGTTGAAGTTGAACTGTTTTTTAAGTATAATGCAGTTGATTTGCGAATATGACACAAACATTATATTAAGCAGGACATTCATAAGAGCCTTCAAATCCAATTATAATCCAAAAGTAGTGTGAAATGCACTCATAAGCAACATGTAAATAGAGGCTTTTTTTGCTGGCGTTCTATAAGAACTCCCACGTGTTCTGCCGCCAACTTGCGCGCATCGCCCTCGTGCGGCAATGTTTGCAAACACAGAAAGGGGTCTATAAAGTCCAGGCTTAATCTGGGTGTGGGAAAACTTCCCTTTGTGTCCTGCAAACTCTGTTTGAGATGTAGAATGTTCATGACTGCCTTGTCCAAACACTTCCCTTTTTAAACAATATGTATTGTTTTTTGTTTTGGTAGTTTTTTTTGTACTTATTTAGTCAGTGTTGTATTCATTTTAGTGCGGAACAGATGTGGGAAGCCTTCTGATCCATATGTAGCCTCCCATATCCATGGTCACCAGTGTTTTGAAGTGGATTTATTCCTCTGAGAACAATGATAATGAGGATGAATATGATGATAAACAGGTAGAATGTGTCCTTAATAAACGTTAACACGTTGTATCTCAGCACAGGTTGTGTCTGAGTGACTGTAACTTGTTCCCTGTGTCCCCCATGTCTGATAATACTCATACCGTTTCATACAGTCTTCAGTCGGTAAGGTGGTACATCATGAATTCATTATCCTATATGGCCTGTATGTGTGTGGCAACTCTTTCCCATTTTATATACACTGCTCAAAAAAATTAAGGGAACACTAAAATAACACATCCTAGATCTGAATGAAAGAAATAATCTTATTAAATACTTTTTTCTTTACATAGTTGAATGTGCTGACAACAACAATATATATATATATTTTTTCACTTCACACAATGCAGTGGTGTGTGTGTGTGTGGTGAGCTAATGAGCCTCCTAACAGAACACTGCGCCTGTAATCTCCAGCCTGGAAGCTTCCTTGTTAATTTTCACCAGATGCGCAGCCTCACCACTGCTCTGGAAGTCAGATAAAAGAGAGGAAGGAAGGAAATAAATAAATAATGAAAGAGAAAGAAAGATGAGCCATCAAAGGAGAGCTTATTTTGTATTTTATATGCGCACATGCATTAGTGTCTGTAACAATAATTGACTGTATCTTGCATGGTTGGATGTACCGTGTCAGTATCACAGGAATAATCCCATGCTCCTTTGCTCCTCCTCTAGGCAGAGGGTGTGTTGTGGGATCATCTACAAGGGCCGCTTTGGGGAGGTGCTCATCGACCCCCACCTCTTCAAGCCCTGCTGCCGCAAGAAACAGCAGCGGCAGCGGCTGGAGGAGGAGGAAGAGTACGAGGAAGTGGAGGTGGAAGTGGTAGAAGTGGCGGAGGAGGTGGGGAAGGAAGAGGAGGTGGAGGAGGAGGAGGAGGAGGAGGGGGAGGAGGTGAAGGTGAAGAGGTCAAACAACAGCCAGAAGAGCTTAGAGACTCCTCAGCTACAGGTCACCATGACAACACCTCAGACCGAAGAGGAGGAGGAGGAGGTTGAGGAGGAAGACTGGTAACGCTGCACCACAGTGTGTGCATCTTTAAAGAAGCCTTGGGAGTGCTCCTGGATTACAAGCGCTTACAAAAAGAAGTTACGTCGGAATGCCTTCAGTCAACGAGCAGCTGAAACCTATTTAGACTTTTTTTTTCTGTAATTTTGTTTGTTAGTTTGGTAACTTGTGGACTGACTGAGCCATCTGGTCTTGTACTTGGTATTCTCCTTGTCCTGGGTTCATGCTCATTAGGCCGGGCATGCAACGGAAAATGAAAATGAGCTTTTCTTATTGGCCAAGTCCATGTAGTACCTACGTGTTGCAATCTATTTTCTTCCATTTGGTTCCTAATGAATACGACCCAAATGTTCTAACACCTCTCTTGGTGTGTTTTTCTCCTTGACATAAAATGCTGTAGCTCTGACTGATCGGCAGCCTACCTTTTACAGGTTACGGTCGTACAGTAGCACTTGTATTATACTGAAACACATTCACATTTACACTATTTTTATCTATTCTGTATATGGGCCTGTATATATTTATATATGGGCCTCGGTTGAGAAAGGCCTATTCACAGCACCAACAGCCAATACACCAGCCTTAATTTAGTGAGGGAAGGCAGCGCCTGTGTTTTGTCAGTGTTGGTACTAACGGATGATATTACAGGGAAATTTCAAAAAGGTTCAACTTGATATTTATTATCTCCAACACCACCCCAACATCAAAATATTTTAAAACGGCAGGTATCTATGTTTTGTAGTCAAAAGGATGCACACCAGATTATGTAAAAGAAAATTATGATTCTGGATGAAAAACATTTGACATCATGTGATTTTTAACCAACTATGAGCAGGCAAAGGTTAGGAAACTAACTACCTCATCATTTCAAAAGTGTTTCTGGATTATGTCATCGGAAACATTTTTCTTCCTCTATCTGCCTCCCATCTTTATGACTACACAACATTGAAGCGCGCTATTTTCGCATATGTTGATGTGGCGCTGGAGATGATGAATATGAAGTTGAAAATTGTGAAATGTCCCTTTTTAAGGCATAATAGTTAGTTGCTAGTTTGTTGAGTTTTCTCCTGCTTATTATGTATTAATGGAGGCCTTAGGCTTTCAAAATGAAGAGAAGCAACACAGTGTGTTTTACATGAAGAAAAAATAACCCCTCTCATCCAAAATATCTGGAGATCAGATGCATAAGTCTAATAAGCTATTGCATGGCCTTAAAAGCATAACTCAATTTTTTTGGAAGTCTTGCTCGTATTTTCCAGACCTAATGACCCGAAGCCCCAAAGTATTGTTTTATTTAAAAGGGGAATACATGTCACAATTGTCTCCTGCTGTATTATACACCAGCAAGTACAATAGTGACCAGTTCAGATCATGAACTATTCCTTCTAGAGGCTGGAATACTTTTATACTTTAGTTTTTCTTACTGTCAGTAAGGGGACAGGATTATGTAATTAGCACACACACACATTTTGTTCTTCTATCCTCGTGGGGACCTAAAATTAATTTCCATTCAAAATCAAATTTTCCCTAACCCTTACCTTAATGCCTTACCCTAACGCCTTACCCTAAACCTAACTCCTAAACCTAACCACTAACCCCTTACCCTTACCCTAACTGTAATTGTAACCCTAAACCTAACCCCTAAGTTTAAAATAGCCTTTGTCCTCATAGGGACGTGGGAAATGTCCCCATGAGGGAGAATTTTCGTTCTTTTACTATCCTTTTGGGGATTTTCGGTCCCCACAAGGATAGAAAAACCAACCCACATACACACACACAAACAGTGGATCTACTGCAACAACCAAGACCTAAAATGTAATGTATACAATTTAGCAGACACTTTTATCCAAACCGACTTAGTAATGCGTGCATACATTTCCTGTATGGGTGGCCTCGGAAATCAAACCCTCAATAAGTGTCTTCTCTCTAAATTTGCACCCCTGTTGTCAAAAACAGTGTATTGTTTTTTTGATTGTCTGAGGAAACGTTTTGCATATTATTCAATTTTTTGGGGGAAATATATTATAGTTTTTTTTGCAGGACTTCCACATTTCCTCTTGTGGTGCTGCAGGTGTTTCAGATTTCAATAGTAGGCCTACTTATGATACATACTGGATGTCAATGCAATTGATCTTTATTTAAGCATTTTAGATTTTTGAGGACTTACTATCATGTTCTGAACTTATGATTCCTCATTCCTTGGTTAGTTAAGCAACCATGATATAGTAGCCTACATTTATCAAACAAAAACCAAAGCACAATTAAATTCATTCTATTTGAAATGCAAAACGGATCATTACGTCATTTATTTGTAGGCTATTAGTGGCATAAAAAGGACACTAAAATCTGTTTGTGTTTTTAATGAGCAATACCATAGGATTGTATGTATATGTACATATTTAAATGGAGGGTGATGGCTTTCTAGTTCAGTTTTTCTGTTATTTATTTCATATTTATTTGTATTACAGCATTTTCTCCGTATGACTGTATTCTGATGCTGGTTTCTCACTGTAATAACTTAAACATTTTACATTTAAAGTTAGGTAGTTCTGTGATATGATTAGCTTTAATGTAGTTCTCAAGCAAGCAGTGTTCTAGTCTGAAATTCACAATTTATAACAGTATTTGTGAAATATTGGGATCAATACTCTTTATTTTATCAACATTATCTTGTAGTAATTTATTATGTAATAAACATTTGATTGGACCTGTATCCCCGTATCAGGTATCCAGCCTGTTGAAATATGAATTTCATTGATTTGACCTATATTCAAACTTTACTTTCCTCTCATCTTTGCCTTTTGATGTTGCATATGACCTGAATATCATTTTAAAGTCAACTCTTAGCTTTACATTTTACATGTGTCATTTAGCAGACACTCTTATCCAGAGCGATTTACAATTGTGCAGTAATCTTAAAATAGCTTTAGTGCTTTAGGCTACGTGCATGTATTGTAGCTATGCACTTGCATTTATTTACGAAGTTAGCTCTATACATTTTGTATTTTTATACATGATGATGTACTTTTTTTTTTTTTTACTAGTCTTTCAATAAAAGTAATTTTGTGAGTTTCAGTCTGGATTTTCTGTTTTTGGCAAGATCATTGTCTTCCCAAAAACCTTGCCATGGTCCTTTTTGCTGTTTCAGGGCTTAATCTATTCCCAAATTTAAAACAACTCCGATTATTTTATATGAGTTTCCATGTCGGATATTGCCGAGTTTCTGAATTGTCAGGAACGTGGCATAAAAACACTTTTATACTCGCCCATAGAAAAAAAAAAGTATATATATATATTTATTTTTTTACCAATTCGGAAACGCAACAACATCACAAATACGATAAGTATTTTTAAAACTAGCTTTAGTTTTCCACCGGAAATGACTGACATTTGCTGTCATGTGATAAACATTTTCACAACACTGGTACGGCGTAGCGTTCGGGTTTCCCGAAATAATAAAGGTTTTTCTTTGCCACAGGCTGCTAAATTACAGCTAGCTCCAGTTATGGAAGTGACTGACAGTAGCTTAATGTAAGCTTCTATATTTCCATTCAAGTGTTAAAGAAAATTCACGGATATAACGTGTTTGGAACCAGTCGTAAGTAATTTATGTTAGCTAGCTAACGTAACTTGTCTACCGTCAATGGTCTGTCTTTCTACTTAGTTAAGTAGCTAGTATTCTGCAGCAGCTAACGTTAGCTCTAGCTATCTAACTAAGCAAATAGATAACGCCGAATGAGCCTTGCATCTTGCCAATGCCCATAGCATTTCTTGACCACGATAGACCTACTACCTAACAGGCTCATATTTGTGTTAGTTAGCTAGCTATCTTGGTGGAAATTGGTGATACAAACGCATAGCTAGCTAGCCTAACTGTTTGACATTCATGTATTAGCAGTGTTGATGGTGTATAATCTGTTATCTAGTTGCTTTCCAGTATCACCAGCACCATGGAACCCACGGCCTCTGGAATGTTCTGTAACAGAATGCTCAGCATGGTAAACTCTGAGGATGTCAACGCCATCATCCAAGCCCAGAGGCACATGTGAGTAACAGTCTGGACTGCAGCACAGAACACATCCTACATCTGCTGGGGGCATTGATATTTCTCACATAAAGGGCAGACTATCTTTTTTAGTAGTCAGCGTGGGTAGACTGTGGCAAAACAGGCACAGCTTTGCCACAGACAGATACAAATAGAACACCATTCATTTCGTTAAGCCTATTCATATCTCGCTCGTCATTTTCTCCTCCCAGGCTGGACCGCTTTGAGAAGACCAATGAGATGCTAATCAACTTCAACGGGCTGTCCAACGTGCGGCTGCAGCAGATGAACGAACACTTCCTGCTTCACACGCGCACCCTGGTTGAGATGAAGAAGGACCTGGACAGTATCTTTAGGAGAATCAGGTGAAGGACCTGTCCTAATACTAGACTACCCCAATTGTCTTCCCACATATGGCCTCATTCTACGTAAGATAATGTACTACCCCTAGACCTGGCCTCTAGCCCCACTATTCCCTACAAAAACAACCCCAAGCCTTACCCCCTAAACATTTCTGTAGATCTGAAAGGGTTGGATAGGTGTAAGCGTTACGACAAAATCTCTGACCAGCCCATCAGGGGACAAGATGGAAACTACTACCATACCTATCCAACTTTTTTCAGATCTACAGGTCATTCAGAAAGTATTCAGACCCCTTGACTTTTTCCACATTTTGTTACGTTACAACCTTATTCTAAAATGGATTAAATCGTTTTTTCCCCCCCTCATCAATCTACACACAATACCCCATAACGCCAAAGCAAAAACAGGTTTTTAGAAATTTTAGCAAATTTATTAACAAATAAAAAACTGAAATATCACATTTACATAAATATTCAGACCCTTTACTCAGTACTTTGTTGAAGCACCTTTGGCAGCGATTACAGCCTTGAGTCTTCTTGTGTATGACACTACAAGCTTGGCACACCTGTATTTGGGGAGTTTCTCCCATTCTTCTCTGCAGATCCTCTCAAGCCCCCTTCAGGTTGGATAGGGAGCGTCGCTGCACAGCTATTTTCAGGTCTCTCCAGAGATGTTCGATCGGGTTCAAGTCCGGGTCTCTGGCTGGGCCACTCAAGGACATTGAGACTTGTCCCGAAGCAACTCCTGTGTTGTCTTGGCTGTATGCTTAGGGTCATTGTCCTGTTGGAAGGTGAACCTTTGCCCCAGTCTGAGGTCCTGAGCATGATGCTGCCACAACTATGCTTCGCCATAGGGATGGTGCCAGGTTTCCTCCAGACGTAACGCTTGACATTCAGGCCAAATAGTTTCTTGTTTCGCATGGTCTGAGAGTCCTTTAGGGGCCTTTTGGCAAACTCCAAGCGGGCCGTCGTGCCTTTTACTGAGGAGTGGCTTCCGTCTGGCCACTCTACCATAAAAGCCTGATTAGTGGAGTGCTGCAGAGATGGTCGTCCTTCTGGAAGGTTCTCCCATCTCCACAGAGGAACTCTGGAGCTCTGTCAGTGACCATCGGGTTCTTGGTCACCTCCCTGACAAAGGCCCTTCTCCCACGATTGCTCAGTTTGGCCGGGCGGCCAGCTCTAGGAATAGTCTTGGTGGTTCCAAACTTCTTCCATTTAAGAATGATGGAGGCCACTGTTCTTGGGGACCTTCAATGCTGCAGACATTTTTTGGTACCCTTCCCTAGATCTGTGCCTCGACACAATCCTGTCTCGGAGCCCTACGGACAATTCCTTCAACCTCATGGCTTGGTTTTTGCTCTGACATGCACTGTCAACTGTGGGACCTTATATAGATAGGTGTGTGCCTTAACAAATCATGTCCAATCAATTGAATTTACCACAGGTGGACTCCAGTCAAGTTGTAGAAACATCTCAAGGATGAGCAATGGAAACAGGATGCACCTGAGCTCAATTCAGAGTCTCATAGCAAAGGGTCTGAATACTTATGTAAATATGGTATTTCCGTTTTTTATTTTAAATACCATTTCTAAAACCTGTTTTCGCTTTGTCATTACGGGGTATGTAGATTGATGAGGATAAAAAATGTTTTACATCAATTTTAGAATAAGGCTGTAACATAACAAAATGTGGAAAAAGTCAAGGGGTCTGAATACTTTCCAAATTCGCTGTACATTAAGTTCCTAGGGTAAGGGGCAAGGGGTTGTTTAACAAACCCTTGGCCGATTGGATACTCTTGGTGGATTGTAGATTTCCTCCAAGTTGTTCCTCCAAGCGCACTTTATACTGACTATGAATGGAAACTTTCAGTCAGTCACTCTCTTGTCCAATTTTCACACTAGCTCATGGGAGTAGTCACACAATTATTGCTCTAACCTTCTGTTATGTGAACATAATCAATTTATTCATGGTTCTATCTGTCCACACAGGACGTTAAAGGTCAAGATTGCCAAGCAGTACCCAGAGGCCTTCAGCAGTGAGTTTGACATTTTACAGTCATGACAGCAACATTGGCAGACAAAGTTGTTTACTGTAAATAGTTGCTAATCATACATTTATCAGTGTTTTGTTTTTGTCTCATCTTGTTAAGCCTGCTGCACACTTTACGTAAACACAGCGATGGAGTGTCTTTTTCTACGTAGTTCTACATACTTTTGTGCGGCTCAAATTTTGGAACAGACGGTATACGACTTTGCGGAGGGTGCATAGGGCCCTTTAGTTAGCGCTACACATCAGACACTTTGTAAAGTAACGGAATTCAATGTTTCAATTCCATAATACAGTAAGTCCTTCTCCTCAGCGCCTCTCTGAGGGTGCATCTTGATAGGGTTAAGTGGCGTTAATTCTTCCCCTCCTTTCCTCTATCTGGTGCTGTTTTTTTTTTTTTACAATGAGTGGAGATGGAGGCCACTTTAGACTATTGAGATTCACCCTGAGTCTCTCCCTCTTCCACAGACGTCCACGAGTCGCCTATCCTGGAGGAGGACGACAATGAGTTTGATCTCATCCCGCCCAGTGTCGCGGTGACGATCACCACCACCACCATGTCGGAGCAGAGCACCGAGTCATGTGACACGAGCCCCGACGTCATTTCCCCAACCGTGAGCCGGTGTTCCGAAGACCTCTCCCAGGAGCAGGCCGATACGCCTACCTCTGATCCAGCCCTGCCTAGCCCTGAGATGGGCGTGCTGAGGGATGAGGGTCCGGACTCAGTGCCTGCAGAGTAGGGCCTTCATAATCCAGGCCTAGAGCTCTACTTAGTACCTGCAGAGTAGAGCCTCCGTAACCCAGGCCTAGAGCTCTATTCAGTGCCTGCAGAGTAGGGCCTCCATAACCCAGGCCCTGGCCTAGGGCTCTATTCAGTACCTGTAACACAGGCCTAGGCATTGGGCTCAGCTCAATAGCTGTAGATTAGATACACTATATATACAAAAGTATGTGGACACCCATTCAAATTAGTGGATTTGGCTATTTCAGCCACACCCGTTGCTGACAGGTGTATAAAATCGAGCACACACCATGCAATCTCCATAGACAAACATTGGCCGTAGAATGGCCTTACTGAAGAGCTCAGTGACTTTCAACATGGCACCATCATAGGATGCCACCTTTCCAACAAGTCAGTTAGTCAAATTTCTGCTCTGCTAGAGCTGCCCCGGTCATCTGTAAGTGCTCTTATTGTGAAGTGGAAACGTCTAGGAGAAACAACGGCTCAGCTGCGAAGTGGTAGGCCACACATACTCACAGAACAGGACTGCCGAGTGCTGTTGCGCGTGAAAATGTCCATGGCCGAGCAGCCGCACACAAGCCTAAGATCACCATGCGTAATGCCAAGCGTCAGCTGAAGTGGTGTAAAGCTCGCCGCCATTGGTCTCTGGAGCAGTGGAAATGCGTTCTCTGGAGTGAGTAATCACGCTTCACCATCTGGCAGTCTGACGAACAAATCTGGGTTTGGCGGATGCCAGGAGAACGCTACCTACCTGAATGCATAGTGCCAACTGTAAAATTTGGTGGAGGTGGAATAATGGTCTGGATCTGTTTTTCATGGTTCGGGCTAGGCCCCTTAGTTCCAGTGAAGTGAAATGTTAACGCTACAGCATACAATGACATTCTAGACGATTCTGTGCTTTCAGTTTGGGGAAGATCCTGTTTCAGCATGACATTGCCCCCGTGCACAAAGCGAGGTCCATGCGGAAATGGTTTGTCGAGATCGGTGTGGAAGAACTTGACTGGGCTGCACAGAGCCCTGACCTCAACCCCATCTAACACCTTTGGGATGAATTGGAACGCCAACTGCGAGCCAGGCCTAATCACCCAACATCAGTGCCCGACCTCACTAATGCTCTTGTGGCTGAATGGAAGCAAGTCCCTGCAGCAATGTTCCAACGTCTAGTGGAAAGCCTTCCCAGAAGACTTGAGGCTGTTATAGCAGCAAAGGGGGGACCAACTCCATATTAATGCCCATGATTTTGGAAGGAGATGTTCGACGAGCAGGTGTCCACATACCTTTGGTAATGTAGTGTAGAAGCCCCAAGCTGCAGCAGAAGGTCAAAGTGATTGATTGGCTTTCGAGTTTTAACCCGTTATCTGGTTAGTCAGGTCTGACTGCTGTTCACCTGTAACCGCCAAGACTGTTAGAGAGTACACCTTACACAGGATCCCTTTTGAAGACATGCTTGTCCAGCACTCTCCACTAGCAATGAAGAAGATACTTGAATTTGTGTTGTTTTGAAGAACTGAATCCTTTATTACTGACACAGGAGGACTGCTCCCAGCTATTCATTGTTTGTGTGTACATGAGTCTCTTTTTATCATTCATATTTGTTTAGCTTGGAAATATTGTACTCCTTTAATGAGGTGGTGAGCTCTGTTGGGCACGGGTAAGCCTATTGGAAGCCAGCTTTTAATCAATGGTACACGGCCTGCCAAAATATGGTTTTGTTTTTTTGAGTAATACATACCTCAAATGTGGTTTATCCTATTGAAACCTAACAGCAAACAGACTTTGTTTTTAAACATGCAAAATGTGTGAGTTGCTGCATAGAAGAGTTCAGTATTATTGTTCTCTATTGTTTCTCAGATATGCATTTTATTTTGTTGGGGTAACTTGAGCTCAAGTACTAGCCTACATTGTCAATCTGTAAATGATCTCTCGATTAAGTGGCTAGCAGAAGCTCTAAGTGTTTACCTGTATCATATCAGTAAATGTTGTGTAATTACTTGAATGCTAAATTATATTAATTGGTTTGTTTAACAATTAAAATGAATTAAATATGACTGAAAAAAGGGTTTTGATGTACCTTTTATCCCACCAATCTTTGACATGCATCTGACACTCGAGAATACAATGTATACCCTTTTTAACCAATCAGCATTCAGGATTAGACCAACCCGTTGAATAATTGAGAATACAGTATATACCCGCCCGATCGATATGTCATAGGCTAGCATCTCCCAGGCCATGCTCAGCTATGACTGTGACATCGCATCATTACATTATTTTACAACTAATTCAAATATTACTACTACATTGATATCTTTGAGACAGGGCATTTCCAACACACAGCTCAATACCTTCTGCTGAACAAGTTACCTCCTTGTGGAGTTCATAGGGTAGGCCTAGCACGTTTGAGACTAATCTTAGGGACTTTAGTTTCCAAGTTCCCCTCTGCTCCATTAGTACCTGGGCTTAGCATTTGTGCAGCTTGTGGTAAAAAGCTTCCTGAAGACCATGTGTAAACCAAGCCAGGTAGGTCATAAAAACGTTGTCAAATAATATAAATGGGCAGTGTGCTGGGTCTCTTTACCTTTTGTTGTTCTCCACAGGTGAACATTCACCATGACAAGCAAAATGAAGACTGAGCAAGATCTGGAAAAACGTCTTACGTCTTTCTTCTATTGGGGAATCTCAGATACGCATTTGTTGTTGTTGTTGTTGAAACCATCAGAAAAGTACAGTAAAAGGAAGTTGAGCAAAATCCAAAATACAATGAGGAAGGAAATGGATAGCCTGTCATCGTTTGACATGGGACACGAAAGCGGCATTGAAATTATTGCCCAGTTGAAGCAAAAATGTGCATATAGCAAAAGGAAAATACAAAATATTCTGGCACTAACACTGGACCATCCAGAAGATAATACAAGAGTTTGGCAAATAAAAGGCTATGGCCTAGAAAGCCAAAGAAATGACAGACGCATAGGATTTCACCTGCCCCAAAGTTAAGGGCAGGTGGAGTTTCACAGGACACAAAGGAAACAGTGGAAAGTTGGTACATAAGCGATGACACAAGTCGGAAAAGGAGATTGTGTCTTTATTTGAAGGGCAAATTAGTCTTAAAACTGCTGTTGCTGTGCAACCTGTGAGAGGCATACCTACAGTTTAAAGATGCAGTAAGTCAAATTTGTTTCAGTTTGAAGAACCAAGGTATTGTGTTGCTAAAGTAGTGTTCACAATATCGGTTATTTTGTGCTCATGTGTCCTCCGGTGTCTACAGGAGCAGAGACAATCCTATAAATCTTTTGTTATTACCTCTATGACCTTGATGCCAATATCCACTATGAGGGAAAAGTTTACAGAATAAATGTTGATAACATGTTAATTGTCTTATTACATGAGTCTGACAGTGTCTATACAGGTCCACATGTTCCAGTGTTAACACTGCTGATGCTGTTACCCTTTGTCAGCATTAGGGAATTAACACTTTAAGTGTTATACAATAAACACCTGACATACCATTTTTAACACTAGGAAGTGTATATAGTTTGCACCAATGGTGTTATGCAATGTTTGATTAAGGATATTACAATAATATTTACAAGTATTTAATGCCACATGCTCTTATGTACATATTTATAAAGACTTCAGGACTGTCAGTGAACATGCTCAAACTTTAACATAATGATGTACCACTAAAACTGGTACTTCCACTCACGGGTGGCCAAAAACAACACATTGAAAGCCCTGCCCCCACTAAGCCACACCTCCAATATAATTTTCCAGTGTGCCTTGCCTTTTCGAGTAAATTGGAGAGTTACCATCCATGACTATTTTTTAGTGACAGACATGGTAGTTGAATTAATTCATTTTCAGTCCTGTGGACCTTACCAATTGAGTTTCTAGGCATATATTATAATATGAATTAAACTATTTAGGACAATGCATTATTAAAGGCCTTACTTTGATAGCCAAGTTTTACCCTAACACAGTGGGGTTAGGAACCTCCTGGTTTACAGGCCACATCAGACCTGCAAGACACATTATGTTGGCTTGCAAAGTGATGTATAATTCCTATTGGAATCCAACCAGAGTTAGGATATCCAACAGTTGGAATTTTATTCACCTGCAACCTGCATTTAGAACGACTGTCAAGGTAAAGAACATTGTGAGGAGACTACCTAAACCATGTCAGTAACGGGTGCAGTTTAGATGTATCTTTGTGTAGCATAAGATTAATCAGTCAATCAATGTACATGCAAAAACACATATTAAAAACAATCCTAAACATTTCTACCTGCAGTAGAGCATGCTGGGAAATCTGATAATGATGGGCGTGGTTTTGATGGGAACGTTTTACTCTCCACAGAGTAAAACTGACACAATCACACTCAACACTGGTTATTAACACCAACACTGGGGCTATTTTACATATTTGCGTCTAAATTGAACACTTACAGTCTCAATGTAACACCTGAAACAACACTGAAAAATGTTACACTGACAAATCAACACAATTTGCTGTGCTCTGACAGTTTTGCACGATTATGAAATATTGGACACATTGAAATGTTTGGCAGTTATCTAATCACCAATCCATAAAATGTGTTATGCATCTAAATTACTATAAAGGCCAACACCAGGTTGCATTTAAATGAGGCTCTTGTAGTTGATAGGATTATGACTGGATAATTTTTGTAATAATTTTCTCTGAATATGCTATTAATCTATTGTTAATTATGTATTTTTTATTGTTTGTTCTATTGTTGTTTATGTTTCTCAAGTAATCAAGGAGGATGTGTTTTGTCAGTAGGCTAGCAATTTCAACAGGTGCCACCTCTTCTGATAAGCCAAACCAAAGATTAGGCTACCTATCTCACCTCTTCCTCTCTGGCCAAACCGCTCTGTCACACTCCACTCCAGCAAGTGGCGATAGAGAATGTATTTACTCGTTCACGACCAAGAGCGCAAATTCTTTATTGTCACCGGATGTCTTTGTCGCTGATGCTGCACGTGATGAAAACAACGGTATCCACTAGATAACACAGCCACAAAGTCAGATTTTACAGCCACAAAGTCAACATTGGCTACAAAATGTTTTGGGTCATAATTTAAGGTTAGGGTTATGCATAAGCTTAGCAGTGTGGTTACGGTTAGGTTTAAAATAAGATTTTAAGAAGATAAATTGTAGAAATAGGCGGGGTTTAGCCATAATTATGACTTTGTGGCTGTGTTAATCATACATCAGCGGTGTTACGTTAGTGACGAAAACAACACAGACGTTAGCTAGCAACTCGCGTAATCTAAAAATGTCAAACATACAGTTGTTTAAGGTTTTTCTTAACGAGAGATTAACATATGCTGCCGAGGAGATATTCGGGGTGGTTGAAAAAACTATAGTAGAGTATCAGGAGGAAGTTGTCCGTCTACAGAGGCTGCTCGATATTGTTCTTCAACCTGAGATAAAGCTACACAGAGCAGGTTTGTTACTGGGTACGTTTGTCTAACTTACTAAATCATCATTTTATAGGACAAAAGCAGCAATGCCAAAGTTATTGTTTTTTTTGGACGTGTAAAATTACATTTAGTGGGGAGGTAGGCCTAAATGTCAGGATGTCAGCATTGAGTTAACTGTTTCTTGCTTTCGCTTCTCTTCCTCCAGACCTCCAGCAGCTCTCTCTCTCCGTCTCTGAAGTGGCGGTTCCCCCTGAGCAGCATGAGTGGAACACCAGTCTGGGGCAGGAGGACCCACAGCCCACACAGATAAAAGAGGAACAGGAGGAAATCGGGACCAGTCGGGAAGAAGAGCTGCTTCAAGGGCTTGAGGCAGATACCATAGACTCCATATTCACTCCTGCCTGTGTGAAAAGTGACTGTGATGAGTACCCAACTCACCCCTCACATCTATATCAAGCCCAAAACGAAGACAAAGAGAGAGACACTCTACCCAGTACTACAAATGAACTGACCAAAACACAACCTGATGGAGAGGACTCCAGAGAGTCAGAACCAACCAGTGTCTCCCAGCCATTCTCTGAAGCAAATCCAGACTGTTTTGCAGCTCAGAGTGAAAACAATGAAAGTGGCAGTGGCATGGAGAATGGAGGACCTGCAATAGGTTTTAAGGCAGTCAAATCAAAGAGAAAAAATATGGTAAAAGGACAAAGCTCCTGTATCACTGTTAAGGGCAGCACATCCACACAGTTGTCCCATCTGAAATCACCCAGGCAAAGTTTTGCTTCTCCCTGTTGTTGTAAGGTGTGTGGCAAGTTTTTTAATTACATGAGTACATTAATTAGACATGTTAAAACCCATACAGGGGATAAAGATAATCAATGTGGTGTGTGTGGGGAAAAATATGGAGTCCACAGAAAGTATGAAAGATCACCTCCAAACTCACATTGCAGCTAATGTTTCTTGTCATGTTTGTAGTAAATCATTTTCCTGTAACAGTAAACTGACAGAGCACGTGAGGATCCACACAGGGGAGAAACCATATCGCTGCCGTGATTGTGGCCAAGGATTCAGCACAAGTGGTGGGGCTGAAAAGACACATGACGAGACACTCAGGAGAGCAACCGTATCACCCTGATTGTGGCAAAGGATTCGGCACCAGCGGTGATCTGAAAAAACAAATTAGAATTCACACGGGATTATCCATATCGCTGCCTTGATTGTGGCAAAGGATGCCAATAGGGTCTGGCTCCAGCAGATACCTTCTCAGGACACAGACGCTGTGAGACATATGAGCTGAGACAGGATGTCAGATGGTATTAACATTGTATGAAAAAATGATAAAAACTAAATTAATCCTGAACACTCAGCTAACTCTCCCAACTTTTACCACCATGATTCTAACACACTTAACATAACGCCCTGGACCAGAGCTACTGACATTTAGCCAGCTAGCTAACGTTAGCCACACATTTGTGACGTATATTAATTGGCATTCATATCACACGAATTGGAGGGAACCGCTACAAATTCATACATAGAAATGTAACATCATACGAAACGGAGGGACACAAGAAAACATTTACTATGTTACGGCCAGAGTTAAAACTGCGTGTGCACATACCATCTGAGATGCAAAAATACCATCTGAGACATGCACTTCGAGATTCGCAGACCAGGCAGCTTCAGGCCGCATATTCTGCAACTGGATGCTTCTCAAGGATTCAGCAGTGCTGGTAATCTGTCAGTACACGTGAAGATCCGCACTGGAGAGAAAACACAAAAGTATTCAGTGTTGGCATCAATCTGAAAGTGCACATGAGGACTCACAGAAACACTGTATAGGTGCAATGATTGCAGAATTTTTGTATGTATTATAGAACCCCTATAAAGTTACATGAACAACAGTCAGAAGATGGAGGAAACATGATAATGTGGTGTTTGGGGAAGGTCTTCAGACAGAAGGTTTAGAGGCACATTCTAACTTCCACCTGTAAAAGTAGATGCACCTCAGGACATTACTCTTGGGTGAATAATATATGACTGATTTACCAGTGGTGTAAAGTAACTAAGTCAAAATACTTCAAAGTATTATTTAAGTAATTTTTGTGGGTATCTGTACTTTACTTTACTATTTATATTTTTGACAACTTTTACTTTTACTCCATACATTTTCCCTGACACCCAAAAGTACTCGTTACATTTTGACTGCTTAGCAGGACAAGAAAACGGTCAAATTCACGCACTGATCAAGAGAACATCCCTGGTCACCTACTGCCTCTGAACTGGAGAACTCACTTAATACAAATTATTTGTTTGTAAATTGTCTGAGTGTTGTAGTGTGCCCCTGGCTAACCGTGAATAAAAAATAAAATGGTGCCGTCTGTTTTGCTTAATATAAAAAAAGGACTTTAAAAGTATTTATACTTTTATTTTTGATACTTAAGTATATTTGAGCAATTACATTTACTTTTGATACTTAAATATATTTAAAACCAAATTATTTTAGACTTTTACTCAAGTAGTATTTTACTGGGTCACTTTTATTTGAGTAATTTTCTATTAAGGTATCTTTTCTTTTATCAAGTATGACAATTGGGTACTTTTTCCACCTCTGAATTACTGCTTGAACCTAAGAACCCCATCACTGTATAGCAGAGAGCAGTTAGTGGATTTCTGAGCAACAGGAGTCTCTGCTCATTAGTTATAGAATAACACAAAGCCATTTGAACCCATGTCCTCCATTTATACATAAAACATGTTTGTTTTAAAGGTTAACATTTGCCAATATGTTAAAAACGGTCACATAATACAGTGGGGGGAAAAAAGTATTTAGTCAGCCACCAATTGTGCAAGTTCTCCCACTTAAAAAGATGAGAGAGGCCTGTAATTTTCATCATAGGTACACGTCAACTATGACAGACAAATTGAGATTTTTTTTCTCCAGAAAATCACATTGTAGGATTTTTTATGAATTTATTTGCAAATTATGGTGGAAAATAAGTATTTGGTCACCTACAAACAAGCAAGATTTCTGTCTCTCACAGACCTGTAACTTCTTCTTTAAGAGGCTCCTCTGTCCTCCACTCGTTACCTGTATTAATGGCACCTGTTTGAACTTGTTATCAGTATAAAAGACACCTGTCCACAACCTCAAACAGTCACACTCCAAACTCCACTATGGCCAAGACCAAAGAGCTGTCAAAGGACACCAGAAACAAAATTGTAGACCTGCACCAGGCTGGGAAGACTGAATCTGAAATAGGTAAGCAGCTTGGTTCGAAGAAATCAACTGTGGGAGCAATTATTAGGAAATGGAAGACATACAAGACCACTGATAATCTCCCTCGATCTGGGGCTCCACGCAAGATCTCACCCCGTGGGGTCAAAATGATCAAAAGAACGGTGAGCAAAAATCCAAGAACCACACGGGGGGACCTAGTGAATGACCTGCAGAGAGCTGGGACCAAAGTAACAAAGCCTACCATCAGTAACACACTACGCCGCCAGGGACTCAAATCCTGCAGTGCGAGACGTGTCCCCCTGCTTAAGCCAGTACATGTCCAGGCCCATCTGAAGTTTGCTAGAGTGCATTTGGATGATCCAGAAGAGGATTGGGAGAATGTCATATGGTCAGATGAAACCAAAATATAACTTTTTGGTAAAAACTCAACTCGTCGTGTTTGGAGGACAAAGAATGCTGAGTTGCATCCAAAGAACACCATACCTACTGTGAAGCATGGGGGTGGAAACATCATGCTTTGGGGCTGTTTTTCTGCAAAGGGACCAGGACGACTGATCCGTGTAAAGGAAAGAATGAATGGGGCCATGTATCGTGAGATTTTGAGTGAAAACCTCCTTCCATCAGCAAGGGCATTGAAGATTAAACGTGGCTGGGTCTTTCAGCATGACAATGATCCCAAACACACCGCCCGGGCAACGAAGGAGTGGCTTCGTAAGAAGCATTTCAAGGTCCTGGAGTGGCCTAGCAAGTCTCCAGATCTCAACCCCATAGAAAATCTTTGGAGGGAGTTGAAAGTCCGTGTTGCCCAGCGACAGCCCCAAAACATCACTGCTCTAGAGGAGATCTGCATGGAGGAATGGGCCAAAATACCAGCAACAGTGTGTGAAAACCTTGTAAAGACTTACAGAAAACGTTTGACCTGTGTCATTGCCAACAAAGGGTATATAAGAAAGTATTGAGAAACTTTTGTTATTGACCAAATACTTATTTTCCACCATAATTTGCAAATAAATTCATTAAAAATCCTACAATGTGATTTTCTGGATTTTTTTTCCTCATTTTGTCTGTCATAGTTGACGTGTACCTATGATGAAAATTACAGGCCTCTCTCATCTTTTTAAGTGGGAGAACTTGCACAATTGGTGGCTGACTAAATACTTTTTTCCCCCACTGTAACTATAGTTTTTGTATGACTGAAGCCTTTAGTGAGAGGTCTAATGCTTTAATATTTAATCATTTCTGCCCTCCGAATTCATCCATATTCATTATATAAATAGGCCCGTGTAATTTTGTCTGGCTTGCCGTTCCAAATAAAGTGGAATATTTTTTGCTCATATAATTTAAAAAAACAAGTCATTAGGTGTAGGCAGGGCCATACGTTTCATTGACAAATGGCAATAAACAGAATAAAGTCAGCCAAAGCAAAAACCTGATCAAAATGAATTCATATGAATGCTGTAAGTACATAAATTGTTTGCTCAGTGGGAAATGAATATCCAACTAGTCAGTGACAACTCTGTGGAGTTTGGAGTTTGTGACAGAAACTATGTGAGCTTATTAAAGTATTACAGACACTATGTACAGGGTTTTCCTTTGGTCTTCTATGTAGAAAAACCCCTTAGCTTCTAACAACTCTTGTGTACAGTAGCTTGTGAGCGTCATAGAGCAAAACAAGAAGTTCTTGTAAAAAGACCCGGCCCAGGGCCCCTTCGGGATCCGCCCTTGTCTTACAAACACCGCTCAGACCCTTTTAATCACACAAATCCTATGGTACAACAAATAGACAACTCCAATGGTACAACAAATAGACAAATCCAATGGTACAACCCAGAAGTCTGTAGCTCAAACACACAATGTTTTAAAGGGGTTATAAGTCCAAAACGTGCCGATGTCACGGTGGGACTGTAGGAGTTAAGACATGAACATGTGTACTGAGTAATATCTGGACTAATCAAACATAATATGATGGATGGACCACCTTCAGAAGCTAACCAAATGCACAAACACAGCAAATAATATTTGGTTACAAGAACTAGAAATCTTGGGTAAATATTTCTCTACATTAAAATGGCAACACCATTGCTTTTGTATGGTCCATATTTAACAGGATGTATATTCCATATTTAACAGGATGTATGGTCCATATTTAACTGGACGTATGGTCCATATTTAACAGGATATATAGTCCATATTTAACAGGACATATGGTCCATAATTAACAGGACGTATGGTCCATATTTAACAGGATGTATGGTCCGTATTTAACAGGATGTATGGTCCATATTTAACAGGACGTATGGTCCATAATTAACAGGACGTATGGTCCATATGTAACAGGATGTATAGTCCATATTTAACAGGACGTATGGTCCATATTTAACAGGATGTATGGTCCATATTTAACAGGATGTATGGTCCATATTTAACAGGATGTATGTTCCATATTGAACAGGATATATAGTCCATATTTAACAGGACATATGGTCCATATTTAACAGGACGTATGGTCCATATTTAACAGGATGTATGGTCCGTATTTAACAGGACGTATGGTCCATATTTAACAGGATGTATGGGCCATATTTAACAGGACGTATGGTCCATATTTAACAGGACGTATGGTCCATATTTAACAGGATGTATGGTCCATATTTAACAGGATGTATGTTCCATA